TTAGTAATCTGAAAAAGTCCAGAAACTTTGAGATGATTCAAGTACTCAAGTTAGTCCATTGCTGACTGAGCACAGAGACTCTGGAGTAGTGCAGAAACTTACTAGAATATTATAGAAACACATCACTTGTAGTATATAAGTAGGTAGAATTTTTCCAATATAGAAGAAACTTGTTACAAACCCCAACTACAGTTGTGTACTACAACTTTTATCTCAATCCCAAACCTCAACAATAGAATGGGGCATTTTACTTTCTGTGGTCAAACATAAAATATGCCAAACTGAAATTATGAAACTTGACTTGTCTCTTCATCTGAAGGCTGATGCTATGAATACTGATCCCAATGCTTCTGATCCCCTCCACAAAGAATTTCTAGATCTTCCATCAGTTCTTTCTTGGATCAACACCTACTTTCATATCCTCTCACAGCATGCCACCTTCTGTGGCCACTCAGATCATGGCACTCAGATACTGAATGGTATGCTTTGCTATTCCAATCATCTTATTTCTCTGTCTTCAAAATATGAGTGAAATGCAGTTTTAGCTTATCACCTAGAATATCATCAGCATCAATGCTATAAAATAGAGAATGGTGACTATACTGGTTGAGACCTTGTTAGTTAGGAGCTCATTGTGGATCATTTGACTATCTATGTTTACACAGCTGTGGCTTTCTTATCAGAATGCAAAGCTGCCAAATCCAAACAGATGGAACAATACTGTTTTGCATGGAATGAAGAAAAATGCTCTCAGAGTATCTCATGTGATCACAAACACATTTGTAAATGTTGTGACTCTGCTGACCATCCAGAGAAGGATTGTACAGTTGAGAAGAAGAAAAAATGGGCTTGAGAATTCAGCAGAGTGAGGAGAGCTCACTTTTGTTGTTGCACTGCTTGCTCATGCCAGCAGCCTGTTGTCTTGGTTTTATTGTCTTTGGATTCCTCTTCTTTGGCCCTTTCATTTATTTTTTCTTTTTCTCATGCTGCACTTTTCTCTCCTCTGTCCATCCCACTTCTCTGTCCAAATACTGATCTCTGCCATAATGATCTATTCTACCATTTATCCTCTCATCCAATTACTTCATCTCTTTCTTATTCTGCTTGGAAGTACTATTTATGGGATTACCCAGATCATACTTTCATACATACTGTCCTCAGTATAATTCAGTATAGTGCTTCAATTGGATTTGTGGGTGATAAACATTCTCAGCACTATCATAACTTATCATCAGCATATGAGCACAGTCAATTTGTGGATGACTCACTATGGGCTTTGACTAGCAGTGGCCTGCTCTCTGGATCTTTCTCATCTCTTCTGTTGGATAATTTCTGCAGTTCTTCTATTGGCATTGTTACATACAAGCACAAATCTGGAAAACTCCATATAATCAACCATCTTTTTTGGCCTCACTTATCTTCTGTTAATGATAGCATTTCAGATTCAGAATCTCACATTTTATATGATATGTTTAAGAAGGCAATCAATGATCTTATTCTTTCTGAGCTAGATTCCAAAATGTCAAAATTAGATCTTAAGGATGCATTTCATCAGATTCCTGTTCAATCCTCTGATTGGCACTATCTTAGAATTTTGTGGCATTGTGAATTTTTTTTTTCACAGGTGCTTATCTTTGGATTAAAGATCACCTCTTACATTTTGATTTGTTTGCAGAAGCACTATATTAGATCATCCAGCATTATATTCCAGCTGTTATCTATCATTTTCTGGATGATTTTCTCTAAATTTTTCTCTCACATACTCCTGATGCTATATCTATTACTGCTGCTGAATGGATCTTAGCACTTGGTCAAGAACTCAGCCTCTGTTTCCAAGAATCCAAGATAGAATAGTCTTCTGTTATCATTGAATTTCTAGGCATTATCTTTGATTCATTACATACAGAAGCACAATTGTCAGAGGACAAGCTCATTTATCTATCAAATCTTCTTCATCTCTGACAGACAAAGAAATCCTGCTCACTCTGTGAGCTTGATGGATTAAAGGGATATTTTCAATTCTGCTTCTAAGTTATTCCTCATTCTCATCTCTTTCTCTATTGGATGCATAATTTTGTCTCATCATTTAAATCTGAATTTTCCATTTGATGTACAGTCAACTCTCCAATAACTTATAGTGGTTGGTGGACTCTCAGAGCTATGGGTTATGGGAGACTATGGGGTTTAAGGGAGATTGTTGTAGATCAACTTTGAGGCTCTCATAAGGGCTTATATTTTGTTAATAGGCCTATAATATAATATACTTGCTATTTAGAAGTGAAGTACCTCATAATCTGGCTGTCCTAAAGTGAATTAGCCCCATCAAGCCTTGTTTTTTGTTTGAACAAAGCCAAAATACTTTCTAAGTTCTGAGCAAATAGATCATTCATGATCTTGATATACTTTTGAAGAGTTCTGACAGCTTAAAGAGCCTCATGACACTTAGAATGAGGTTTTAACACTGAATTATCACCACCATCAATATCATCTCCAAGTCCATTCTCATCTATGCCTTCTTCTGCATTCTGTGATGCTATCACTGCATCAAAGATATCTTTGTCTGTTGTCTCTTTCATATTCATATTCTCTATCTCTGGATTCAACAAAGATTTGATATCAATATAGTTATGGTATTGCAATACATCTGTGCTTTGGAGATTATCAAGAGATTCCTTCAGCTGTTTCTCCATGTCTGTGATAGAATCCTGAACAAGCAAAGTGATGGGAATTAATACTGACACAACAGAAGCAAGAGAAATATCAGGTAAGATCCCAGCTTTCTGCCAACAGTGTTTTATTGTGGAAGCATCCACTGATTTCCATGTGGCATCAGCAATCTACATGGCCTTAAGCTGATTGATATCATAAATTCCAGCAGGAGAGATATCACTATCATAGTGATCAAAAGCCTGCCAGATATAGCTTAATCAGTAATGGGCCTTAAAGCAGCAAATGATGCCAGTGTCAAGTGGATGTGTGAGGTCATATTAGGCTTGAAATTTTTAACAGTCATGCACTGCAGATCATCTTCAGGAACAATGTGTCCTGAGAAATTATCTTGTAACAGCAAGATATTTCTTTTCTTTATCTGCAGCTCCACATTCCATCACAATATCCATTTCTTATAGAAAGCTTTCATCATCTAGGCTTTTGCATTATTATGGTAGTAGAAGCCCAGCTGTATGTCTGACTTCTTTTGAAAAGAATGAGGTTTATGGGCTTTTTCAAAGATGAAAGGCTCTTTTTTGTCAGAGCTGTTGGCATTTACAGTGAATGCATATGTCAAGTGAACTTTGCTTTTCTTAACACCAGAATGGTTTTTGTTGGCAAAACCACAGTCAGAAGACATACTGTGTTTTATTTCAGTCAGATATTTTTATAAAGCCAGTATACTTACCTATAAAACAAGCCTGTTTCATCCATGTTATAAATATCACAGAGCTCATATTTAGCTAGGATTGCCTTGATGCACTCTTGTTCTTCATCTACCTTAGTGAGATCAGCAGATCCAGCTTTGTCATGTCACTTGAATTTCTTTAAATTGTTCTGCTTCTTGAATTTTGACAGCCATTCAGAGCTCATACCTAGTCTCTTATTCTCTGATACCCTCTTCAAATTTGCAAATGCTGTTCACTTTTGATGTAAGACTTCACCATTCAGCAAGATACCATCTGCCATTGCCTTTGTGATCCATAAATCCATCATCTCAGTTATCTCTAGATGCTGAGTTTGATGCATGCACTTCACTTGATGGCCATTTACCCCACTCTTTTCATGCTCCTCCCTCCACTTGTCTTCTGCCTTTATCCATGCACTGACAAGCAGCTGTTTGATTTTAAGATGTGGATATTTGGCATTAAAATGCTTTACTATCTTGGATTGATTTTTTCCATTAGCATGATACCAATCAAGAACCTCAATGTGCTGCTGCAGAGTTACCAGCTTGCCATGTTGCTCACTAGTCACAGTAGGTGCTTCTTTTCTTTTTTTGACTTGTGCTTTCCCATCATCACTGCAATGCTCCACATACCTTTCTGGTGCTGCATGATAAAGAATCAATATATGCTGTTTAACAGTTAGAGCATGGCTTATCTTTTTTCTTTAGAGATAGCTTATTAAATTTTTTGATTTGACTCTCAAGTCAGTCATATGTATGTCTCTGGCTCATATTGAAATTCTTAAATGCAGCTCCAAAATCTGATGTTGAATCAAGCTTCTCAATGATAATGTTCTCATCAACAAAATTTCCTGCTTCATTCAATCATACTTCTTCTTCTGCTAAGACTGATCTCTTGTCATTGAGCCTAGCAAGAATACCTGCTTGTTTTGCCTCAGTATCACCTTTTCAGGTTTGGAGAGCTTTTTTCAATTCATGAATGGTTAGAAATGTCATACTAGGACTTCTAGCACAACAGAAAGGGCAGTAGAGACAGTTAATAATGGCACACAAGAGTTTTTATATTTCTCCAACAACAGCTTCAACATAGCAACTGTCTGGCTCTCTTAAATTGACATTGCTAGATGCTACTGTTAGCACAATGACTAAGTATCTATAGGTTACCAGAGAGTGGATTCTCAGAAAAACTATGAGGTATGAGGTATGAATTTATGGCATTAATTCTTCTGTGAGTGAGGTTGATGGATCCAAAAATCTATGGAGCATAGGAGACTATAGGTTATTGGAGGTATGAGTTATTGGAGAGTTGACCATATACCATCTGATGTCTGCTCTGACATCAATTGGTGGAGCATTTTCAGCTTCCAGTGGAATGGAATACATTTGCTGAAGGTTAAGTGTGAGGTTGTTTCTGTATTCACTGATGCAAGCAGGCAGAAAGGTTTAGATGGTTATTTTGGCAACAATTGGTTTTCTTCTCATTGTTTATGCTACTTATGAGCCAAAGACATCTAATACAAGAAGTTGTATGTGGTTTTGCAGACTATTTTGCATTGGAGTGATAATTAGTCTGGAAAAACTGTTAACTTCCACTGTGACAATCAGAATGTTGTCAGCTGGCTTAATTCCAAGATGAGTCATTCTTCATATAGCATAGCACTCTTATAGGTTATTTTCATGCTTTTGTCTTCCTTATATTTTTCTTTCTTTTTAGTTTGGGTTCTCACTGCTGAAAATGGCATTTCTGATGCAGCATCTCATTTTCAGTATCACTGAATGCTCCAACTTGCATCCAACCTTCAAGAGAAATCCTGTTTGATAAAGTCCCACTCTCTTTCTATGAAACACACTCTCACTACTCTCCACACATCATGTTCTTCCTCTTTCATGGCCTTGCATCCAGCACTAGAAAAACATATTCCAGTGGCCAAAAGTCCTTCATTGATTTTCTCCAACTACATTCAGAATATATGGATCCACCAGAACAATTTCTTCCTGCATCTAACACAGCCATGATGGAATGGGCTGCCTGGCTAGGCTCTAGAGGATTGATGCCTAAGACCATCAAGTCTTATCTTAGTGTGTTGTGCTCTCTTCATGTTGATGCAGATTTGTCTTCTGACCAATGTGAATTATTGTCAGTTCATACCTTCTTCAGGGTACCAAGCACTTCTATGGGGAGCAAGAGCAGAATCCTAAGATGCCTGTCACATTAGACATCTTACAGAGGCTGTCAACTATCCCAGGGTACACTAGACCATTGAGAGTGCTATTTTTGATGCTGTCTCCAAGCTGGCTTGGTCTGCTTTCCTCTGTTGTAGGGAATTCACACTTGCAAACACTGAGATCTTTAATCCAGCAGTTCATCTAACTTGGGACACTGTCCAATTCCTGCTTAACTTTGAAAATCCAACCTACATCTGCTTAACCCTTCCTTCATCAAAGACAGACCCTTTCTGAAAAGGTGTTACCATTCTGATCTCAGCCACACTGGGCTCTTCCACATGTGCAGTCTGCATTGCATAATCTCTTCACCATACACCCTCTAGATGGGCAATCACCACTGTTTGCAGATGCAAATGGCAATTCACTTTGTCAGAACATCTTCATACAGACTCTCAAAACTTGTCTGACAGTTTTAGGCATTGACTTGTTGAAATTCTCTGGTCACAGTTTCCACTGCAGTGCTGCATCCTCTGCTGCTATCACAGGGTTTTCTGACTATGAAATTCAACTCTTAGGATGTTGGCACAGTGATGCATACAAGCTATATATTGATGTTCCCTGTGATTGCATCCTCCACCTTTCTGCTAGACTTCCTATGGCCATGCCTCATAATCCTCCTCCCAATCCACTGGATCTCCATGTCATGCCCATGGTGGCTTAAGCATGGCTTCCCTCTGGGGGGGTCCATGCAAGAGAGCTGTGGTGACCAAACAATGTTTGTTTGACCCCAACCTCTCACATTCGTGTCATGCAATCTCTCCAGTTCATCTTCGACATCCAGCTTCTCCTCTCAACTCAAGCAGGCATAGACCTGTAGTTTAGTTACAGTGCCCCTTGGGGGAATATATTCACTGGAGTTGTCAGCGACATGTTCAGGAGGGTTGTAGTCGACACAGTTCTCTTCTTTGAGACGATCGGGAGCCCAGTCGACCTCATCCTCAGCCCTTCCATGTGTAGGCCAATCTTCTAGTTCGAAGGGTCGAACATCCGTCATGGCTCCGATAACCGCCTTTTTCAGCATCTTTTCGAAATACAGCTCTTTGAACAGATTCGTGAAATTATTGTACTGGGGAAAGTCTTCCTGAGCCCCCTCAGATGTGTACGCGATGTTGAGAACTGTGCGAACGACCCCGAGCGCTACTGTTATGTTCCAGAATTCGTTTGGAAGACACTGGGTGATGGCGGGATAATTTCCTGGATCCATGAGAAAGCGCGAGCGTGCCTGAGACCCTTTGGTGTCATGTGGGAATAGGTCACTGAAGTGGTCCTTCTGCGCTTACCACGAGAAGCAACATTGCTCAACAGGCGATACCAACTATAAGCGAAACTCGGCTTGATCTTTCGGACGCGCCCTCCGGTGACGGAACAAGCAACATGCGGAAACAGGTTATAACATTCAAGTCCATCAAATACATAACTCTGACGATCATTCGATAGGTTTTGCGCCGCGAAGGCTTCCGATGTCCTCTAACCGGTGTCGCCGAGAGTGGACACGATCTTTTGCCTCCTGGTAGCCCTCCAGACTGCTCATATTCTGAAAAAAAAAAGATTTTTAAATGTCAGATCAGCAGAACTAACCATGAGGTGTGTTAGAACGCACCAAACTCCTCTGCGCCCTTTCTGTTGACTTCGTCTGCAAGCCAAACTACTTCGGTCAGGTGACGTGGGATATTTTACGGAATTACATGGCAGCGCCACCAGAGGAACTTAATGATCCATCAAATTGGATCGCATTTGAGACGAACATACACACCCACTTTGATACTTTCCGACTATCATTGAAGAAAACAGAGGTATGTGGTGTGCTTCAATAATCATGACATTGGACTAAGGCAAGAAACAGCAGTTCAAACGAATATAGCGTAACGATCTATGGGATACCGTTGGAAGACTTGTGGCCTCGACGTATTTCTGAACTTCTTTGTCTTCCGTGACCAGTCATTGGGACCTGACGACCGTCCTACAACCCCATCTGAATCAAAGTGCCACCAATTGCAAGGCGTACCCTTGCCAAATATCCCCGATACCTTCGCTTACACTCATGTATCGCTGATGGTGCAGGAGCTGGAGAGGTCATTGATAAGATTCTGGAACAACTTGAACCTGGTCAACCGCCCCTGCCCGCCCTGGATCCTCAGAAGACATTCACTTATATCCGTTCCCAAACAGCTGTGCACTCCTAGTTCATCTTCGGTGACCCCTGTCCTCACCATTTGCCTCCTTCCTACGCTCTTCGGAACCTTTTCACACTTAGGAGATTCCATGGATTTGTATATATTATGTTTGTACCACATTGGACTAAGACTTTATTGGAATAATGGATTTCAAGCTGCTCGAATGAAGGCAAGAATCAAATCCCCAAGGCCAAGCAAGAGTCATGGAAAGTCCTAACCGCGCAACCGTCACAAATGAGGTGGTTCACTAGCCTTGAGTGGAAAGCGATGTTTCTACCGTCCTCCTACAATGCAACGAAAGGAGGAATCTTATATGTCGATCGTTCCCCTTCCTCTGCACATGACCACTGAGTCTGGCTCCTCAACAGTCAAGAGGTCTGCCCAAACAGGTGGATGGGAAGAGGAGGATATGGCGTCGAGTGGGACCATGCTAGTTGCGGTGTTGTCAAATTCTTGAATCAGGTGGATATGGGCTTGTTCATCCCAAAGGATTGCAAAATAGCGGATATATAGATGTATCTAGGTGCTCTATAAGTTAACACAAACACTGCGAGGGCGATGAGTACGCGTCAAAAGGCTGAACGTAAGGGGACGGCAGACCTCTACACCTCCTTCATGGGCACCTTTTCATGCTCCCTCTCCTCCTGCTCCAACCTTGCCTGACGCGCATTCACCGCACTGAGGTACGTGTCTGTCGACGTGTCAACACCGCCGAGACAAAGAGCAGCAGCACGGAACACTCACTCCAGAACAAACTAACCACACTGACGACTACAAAGCGCATATGATGCGGGACAAGCGCGAAGTTGATGATTTGTGTGGGTATGAAGACGCCCCAATTGCGGAGGATGGTCGGGACGTATGCAGCCTGGATACGGGGGTACGCCTCGTGTGGGACGCCCTCGAGGACGGACATGCACGTGAAGAAGGCGCCGACGGCAAAGGGGGTGAGGACAGCCTGGTCGAGCCATACGCGGTAGATGATGGCGCGGGTGGGCGAGGCAAACTGGATACGGTTGAGGAACTGGTACCACCAGGTCATGACAGGGCCGAAGAGGGCGCCTCCGTAGAATGTGAGTCGGACGGTGCGGAGGAGGTCGTGTCGCCTGAGGCCCCGCTTTTCGATGGCTTGTTGGGCGATGATGTCGCCTGTGCCGAAGAGGAGGGCTGCGGTGCCGCATTGGGCAAGCATTGGCCGGCGGATGAGGAGCGCGCTGTGATTTGGGAAATTCAGTGGGTAGGTAAAGAGGGAGAGAGGAGGAGGACAGACTTGTATGCGCGGAAGAGAGACGCCATGGAAGACAGAAGCAAGCGGGGCCCCACGATAGGGCCGGTATTTGTCCGCCTTGGGTCCTGAATTTGAATTTACCTCTTTCCACATCTCGGTGCGGGGAAGGTCATTGATAGGATTCTTAAATACCTGCCCGAATGGACGCGTCCAGCGAATATCATTGATCTCCAGGGAGTCTTGAACACGTCCCAAAGTCGCTCTCTCTTGACACACACACTCTCTCTGACATCTGTTGTCAACGTACAGGTTCTATTGTTCCCGTGTATTTAGCTCAGAAATTATGCCCCCCCACTGGATCTACCATGACAGATTCTATCCTGGATTACATTCACTAAGTGCCTTCTATACCTCTGAGTGACTTTCAGCAGTCCTTCCTCCCTCAGGTCGCTAGCTCTGCACAAATCGCCGCCATTGTCACCCGTTTATGAACCAACGGATCTCTCCAACCAGATGGACGGTGCACTCTGTTCCCTATCAAACCATGTATGGAAACGAATGAGAATATTTGTTTCAAACGTCTCGAAACAATTACTGCAGCTATTGTCCAAGAGGCAAGGGCTTTGCTGAATTGCAATCTGACTGCCACAATGCAGACCTGACCAACACAAGCCACACTTTCTCAAGGTCATGACGCACGGTTTACATCTGATAGCCACTATGCGCTGTGTGAGTCCAAGCGTGCCCGCGTCGTAACTTCTGAGTTTTCTGCCCGGTATGGAAAGCTATGCGCGTGTGAACGCGAGGTAAGGCACTATATTATTTCCTATGTGTTTAAATTTCTGTATCACATCATAGGCATGCGACCGTGCCCAGATTGAGGAATACAAGCTCACGAAGACTTGGCAAATGAAAATGATGTAGGCGGCATGTCACTGTTTAATAATTAGCCAAAAGCTGATGACTACGTTTTCTAGAATAACAGGAAAGATTCTTAGGAATTGCGGTCTAGATGATGAATGCTGATCCTTGCCGACGCTTCATGTTTGGAATGACCATCGCAGATACTACGACCTGGCTTTGGTTCTTCTCAAGAGCTATGGTAGTCGTGTCAGAACCTTATGATTTTATTTTGGTGCCTGGATATACTTTTCCTTCGCCAATGGGTATTAAATTACTCTACTCTAGGACTATCATCACTTGATAAACTATGTTGTATCCATGCCATTTGGATCCACAGAACAACTAGGCTACAGTTCCACAATCACCAAAGTAGCAGTCCCGCTCAAAGCTGATCCAGCCCGTTATTGTATTCAGTATGATGGCGAGACCTACCGGACCAGTTGAATACCTGAGCGCTTTTCGACCCTCTGGTATCTCATCCGAATAGAGGATGGAGCATTCGAAAATTCAGCAATCCAAAGTGCACGGAATGTGCACTCAAAGACTTCTGGATACCCTTGGACTCGCAGATGAAAAGCGAGATCCAGGAGGATATCTTCCAGCGCATCGAACCTAACGATCCTGCCGCGAGAGAGAATCCTGATCTCTATAAACAGTAAGTACTTCATGGAAATCAGAGCATGCAAAGTGGTAATTCACACTGGCAAAACTGAAGATGCTATACCACCTCTTTTGGACTCATACCGTATCTATGACATAAAGAGTCAGACCGAGCGCTCCTACAGCAACTCAACAGCATCGTTCACAGCATCTGTATCCTGGACATTAACACGTTTGGGTGCTGTTATCTGAAGTTGCTATTCACCAGACTCCTTCACACCTTTAGAAGTCAGAATCTTTTTCTGCTTCTTTTTTTGTCTTTTTCTAAAAGCATCATTTCAGGGTTGGGATATTTATACATCACTTCATACATACAAAGAGACATATCAGCAGGGAACATTTTGCTTTGTTCAGGCCACAGAAGAAAGATATTGGACATGGAATTTGCCAAGGTGTTTGTTTCTACATGATGGTCCAAAAAGTGATCCCAGGATGGTATGCCTAGTACCTTATCACATGTGCTTTCATATCTTAATTTTTTTTTACTGCAGTGAACACCCAGTTTCATGGCCATGGAGGTTCAGCATAAATGGTACGTCTTCAAAGCAAAGCAACCAACCAACTATGGACTCAGAATTTGACTCTTTATTCTCGGCTCAACAAGATGTCCATAGTAGCACGTCCCACACTGTTCCTTCATAATTTCTATCATGACACAGAATCAGTTTGGTGGATCGGCATTCACTCCTTGTTTACTACAGAGCCTTCAATGACCAAAATGGGATGAAGCCGACTTCAATGTCTTAGGGTCTCTGGATCCAGGAAGTTATCCTGCCATCACCCGGTGACCTTCAGACGAATCCTGGAACATAATGGTAGTGCTCAGAGTTGTTCACACAGTTCTCAACATCGCGTACACATCTTCGGAGGCTCAGGAAGACTTTCCCCAGTACAATAATTTTACGAATCTGTTCAAAGAGCCGTATTTCGAAAAGATGCTGAAAAAGGCGGTTATGGGGGCCACGACGGATGTTCGACCCTTCCGACTGGAAGATTGGCCTACACATGGAAGGGCTGAGGATGAGGTCGACTGGGCTCCCGATCGTCTCAAAGAAGAGAACTGTGCCGACTACGACCCTCCTGAAAAACATGTCGCTGACAACTCCGGTGAATATATCCCCCCAAGGGGCACTGTAACTAAACTAGGGGTCTAATGGGGCAGAATGATCGCCGCACATACTTGGACGTGGTTTATCTTGTTCAAGCAATCAGCGGTTTGATGTTTCTTTACAACATACAGGATCAAAATTTACGCCTCGTCATTCACGAGAGACAAGGAAACCCGGATTCAAACAGGGGAAATTAAAATGCTGCAACTAGCGAATACCAAAGTCCGAGTATGTTCAAGACTCCCTGAAGATCAACGATATCTGCCGGACGCCTCCTTTGCGGCAGACATTTAAGAATATGATCAACGACTCTTGCTGCACCGCTTTTCTGGAGTACGTCCGCCACGCATGCATGCAAATGGAGGTATCGTGGGTCAGGCCGCAGTGTACCCTCTTTGAAGGTGACAACCTTTTTAAAGTATCTGGGCCATAGACATTGTCCATACGTTTCGACTGTATATTCATCGGCATTCTGTCAAGGGTATAGTATAGGTAGGTATGCATTGGGATGTATGGGTCCACTCACTGTAGTCGCCTTGAGCGACATCCTAAAGTTGCTGAAATGCATGTCCGTATTGAGCTCGCAAGCAAACGCATTGCTGGGATCGTCATTCGGAACTGAATTCAGGTCCACTCCAGGATTAATGTATTTGTGTATGATCTCTCGCGTGATGGGTTCGAAGAAATCAATCTACAACTTGAACATTTGGCTGGGACGATGGACATATATTGTTGTGCTTACCTCTCCTATGATGGGTCTTTGAAGGATATGATGTGTTCTGAGTATGCACATCACCTCGGAGGAAAGCTTAGGGTGGCCGAGTTCCACCATGCCTGATATCGGGCAACGATAATTCTGTTGATAAAACAGCTAGACACGATAGGGGTCATTTCCTCCGAGTCACGAACGACAAACGTTAAGCGAACCTGTCGTCGTAAGTTATATAGATGCAAAGGAAGTTGCTCAGGCACCTCAGTTCTTTGAGCTACGAAAGTTGAGTACCAGTTCAGCGCTTTGACTATCAAGTGGTAAAATCAGTAGGAATTTAACACACAATAGAACACGACAGGACGGACAAGGCCAGAGAAAATACGCGAACCATGTCAAGGCCAATTGACTGATTTGGTGGGAAGTTTTGCAGGTGAATATGGCTGAGCTGACGTAGCGCACGCCGCCGCTGTTAGGCGCACAATCGAGCATAGCCGACAAAATAGAAGCGAGGCTTCCACCCAAGTCGGTGAACCACCTCGGGCTATCGGCCTGGAAATTTCCGATGAGTTCTTGCGCTTCGGCGACGAGATGTTCGGTGGTGTGAATAAGATCCTCCACGATTGATGGGACTTGGATTGGCGGATTCTCCCCTTCATTCCAGCAGCTCGCCTCTATTGGGACATCGCTGTTTGAAGTATAGTGGAAGCGGTAGGTTTCGACACCTCCTTTAGCAGAAAGAGAGTCATGGTGGCCATTGCGAAAATGTGAGTCTCAAAGTGTCTAAGATTGATTTTTCAGTCAGGCAGAAACACTATGAAATTCCGTCATGAGTCTTCACGGTCTTCAGACGCCGTGGATAAGGGCGCTAGTCGTGGATAGCGCAAATGCTGTCGGCGACACAATGAGCGGGAGTCAGAGCGCGAAAGGCTTTCGAATCGCAGCCCTCATCGTCATAGTGCGGCAGCCTTCAGTTGTAGTGCGAAAGCTTTTCAACCAACCCTCCTTCGTCGTAGCATTGATATAAATCATCGGGGGATACCCTAGTAAGAAGGATCATAGCCCCTATTTTTATCTGCGACGTCATCGAGATGGATTGCCATCCATCGAAATAAGTGGCCTGAACTGCACGGTATACTCAGAGGACATTCGAAAGAGGAGGGAAAAGATACCACAACTGCGAATATCATATGTTCCCCCAAGTGGCACTCTCACTAAGAAGGCTATTGACGGGGTTGATGAAGACGAGAACTCGGATGTGGAGCGCGCGTCAAACAAGAAGGCACAATGGTACTGGTAAACAGGTAGTATGAGAAGTCGGTCTACGCGGTCAAACCCAAGGGCTGTCAAGGCGAAGGAGGTGCCTGTAATGATGATGAGCATGCGCAAAGTATACGCAGGGACACTTGAGCGTCATAATGATCGGCACTCCGCCGGGATAGGTAGGCTTCGGTGGCACCTCGTGGAGGAAGCATGGTTCTTGCTATGTTCAAATTCGTTCGTTGTGGCTGGGACAAGTGAGGTCCTTATATACAGAGATAAGGAGCGAATACTACACTTTCGGTGTTTACGATCAGTACGCAATGCCATTCTTTGTTTCGTAAGCCTTCATTCAAATTCCAGTCATGACCCCTTATGAGACGATTGAAATCCCAATGACCAAAGAGCCATCTTGATTCAGCTCGTTCTTTCCGATTGTCTGGCTATCAATGGGTAGTCCGGTAAATGAATAAATCAACGGCAATTGGCCTTTGACGATAAAGGACAACGAATACGGTCCGATGCATAAAATGACAACCGGGATTGGAAATTTCGCAAAGACCCCCCCCCCCCTACTCGGAGCCTTGGCAGACCTTTTCCTCGTAAGAGGGAACATTTCCCTTTTAAGCTTTCGTTATCAGTAGTTTTGAATGGGATGGCTTGTAACGAGGCTTCCGGCTGGATATGATGGTCTTCTTCACTACAGAGAAGCTCAGCACGGCTTCCTGCCCTACAAGGACGCAATAAGTACCAAAGAGACACTAATTCGTTTCACCGCGGTTCCTTATGATACATTTCGTCGGCAAGTTTCGGTTCACGATCTGTATACCAGACGGCTTCTCCGGCTACTGTGGGATTGGGTCCTGTTATTTTGGCTTGTTCAATCCAAATGCCTACTTGACCGATCCGAGTTACCATTATTCTGTGCCAAGGATGGGAACTCGTTTGACCTTGCCAATTGTTCTTTAATGAGCTGATCGTTCGTCTGGGATGGGATCTGCTACATACCCGATTATTGCAGCGCGTCCGATTCAAGGACTCGTTCTGGTTCCTTTGTTGTAAATAGAACAAACAAAATTAGCGGAATAGCGTATTCCATTACCATTTTTGAAGAGAATTGCAGCAGGATGTTGCAATGCCCCCGAATTGTTCTCTGTCGCGTTATCGAGAGGACTTGCCTCTGAAAGCACATCACAAAAGGCTCCTTCTTTACCCAGTGGTATCCTTTGAAAAAAAAAAAAAAGAACGGCAGAGAGCCTTCTCGCTTCGCCATGACGGTCGGACGGAGGAACCAACCACAAAGCCCCTATTATGGCATCCGATCGGATCAAGATCCGCTAGTCCCGGTATAAATTGCATCAATTAAACCCCTCCTTTTACTCTACCATCATCGCATCTCCCTACATCGTATATCATGGTACATCCAGTCTCTTTCCTGCACTCAATCTGTCGTTACTCACCAAGCTCTAGGGCGTCACTATCGAGACTCTTACCCCCGGCGACACCAAGAACTTCCCTCAGAAAGGCGGTCAGTCTCACTTTGCGCGTTGCTCGAGAAATCCGTTACGATCTACCGATAGATAAGGTGACGATACACTACGTTGGGACTCTCACCGATGGTACCAAGTTTGATTCGAGTCGGGATCGGTGAGTCGCTCGTTGGTGTGGACCATATCGGGGCTGATCACTTGGTCGGTCACAGAGGCGAGCCATTCGTGACTGAGATTGGAGTAGGAAAGGTCATCAAGGGATGGGATGAGGGTAACATTTAGCGTAATGTGCGCCCAGAAAAATGCTGATTTTTTTTTATCGATCCAGGTGTCCCCCAATTGTCCCTCGGACAGAAGGCTGTCTTGATTGCGACACCCGACTATGTATGTGTTTCCTCCAGTTGGAGTCGTTCACCGATATCGATTCTCGCTCATCTTTTAACCTCCAGGCGTACGGAAGTCGCGGATTCCACCCCATTATCCCACCGAATTCCACTCTCCGTTTCGAAGTCGAGCTTTTGAAGATTAACTGAAGACCAATGTTGTACATTACCTGGATTCGGGCACGCAATGTCCCGTTTGTGCGACTATTATACTGTGTTTTAGCTCCAACTGTAAAAAATACTGGATGAACAATTTCCTACAATGTGCCCGATGTGATATCGATGGATGCGCTACTTATCGATGTATCGAACGTTAATGATCGCCCTTGGTATCGATAACGCGTTACGCCGGTGCCTTGCACAATTTATTCCGCTCGAGCGCTATTCTTGGAACCATACGTTATTGAAGACGTCAGCGCTTTTTACTAGTCACTATAGTGACAGTTCGCTGGCTGCGCATTCACCGGTGGCCGTGGAGGTGCTGATGTCGGCATACGAAGCTAAGGCAGCGAGTCCTCCAATGATTTGTTAACCCAAGGCTATTCTCCAGAGTCCAGCTGTTCTATCATACAGGTTAACCGCCTGCCCGCCCCAGGCTCGTCGTTGTTCCCTAATCATCTAATCTGCCCTCCGAGGACCTTTCGGTACCAAAGCCCATAACGCGACCGACAGACCCAAGAATCCCACAAGCCTAACAACGCAAATCAGCATCATAGAAATCCCCCAGTAATCCATTTGGGTGCTCACAAGGGCGGCATAGTTTCAATACCAGCTTTATTCGCCACAGCGCCGGTCATGAAAGGGAACAACGCACTGCCGGCCTGGCCCAAGCCCGCGATCCACCCAACTGCCCCGGAGAGAAGCCATTGCGGGAGTACTCGTCCGGCGTGACTCATCAGCAGGGGGTATGTCGGCCCCAGAACTAGTCCGACAAGCGCGACGGCCATGCCGTCCCCGACGAGAGAGGGTACGAACCATATGACGAGTTCCAGTCTGTGCCAGGCGTCCATCATTATGCAGCTTGTGTGTTGGTGATAAACAAACGCACCCAATAGCAATTACTGAGTATAGATAGAATGCAGGGTGATTGCCCAACTGATAAGGAATTAAGGAACTCCTGAGTACTGTGGAGATGAAGATATCGTACCTTTTCTGTCACCCAAAGTAGGACGAGAGGTCCAATGGTGAGACCTGCAAGTGAGCGCATGAGAAGCTGTCTCTGATGATCAAATGGCGGTACGACTACCTGCGTAAAACCCGGACGAGATGTATCCAGACGAAGGTCCACCTTCTCGGACCCTTTGTATGAACGTCACGATCCATCCTAAGTCAAATCAGACACGAGAACACGATATCAAGCAACAAGCAACAAGCAACAAGCAACAAACCTCCAATCGTAACCTCCGCCCCAACATAAACAAGGGCGAATAATCCAAGCAGATGCACAGTCCGCGTACGGAGCAACTGGCGGATTTTGCTGTCACCATTCCTACTAGCATGTTCTTGTTGAGGCTCGCCAATCTCTGCAAAACAAACTGCCACAACAACACGACTTCAGACTTCCGTGTCAGGGTAGGGAGGGACGGACGGCTTGCCATCTAACGTGTTGAATCGGAATACACTGGACAGGACGGTCGTGTTCGAGACTGCGATCCCGAGGGATACAAAATAGAAGAAGGACCAGTGCCTTATCTGCGCGAACTGCGTTGCGACGAGTGGAGCAGTCAATGCGCCGACACCTTCAAAGGATTCAAATGGTGTCGTCCTGATCCACGGGCGGAACCGCTCACCATAACCGACTTGGAGGATCATCATCTTGAGTTGGGAGTTGTTCCTCAAGCTCGCGACGTAGCTCGTCACCTGCGCGTCCTGAGCCGAAACAACGCTCAGTGAAGAGACTCGGCGGCCCGGGAACCTCTTGTTCCTCACCTGCAACGCCATGCCGATCCCGTTGATCGCAAATGTCATGGCAAACACCGGGAAAGGCAGCGCAGCTGCCTGCAGAGCGTACATGGCAGCTTGACAGAGAGCGCCTTGTAGTTCTTGGGTGAGACTCTCATAGTGGTTTATTGACAAGAGTGCATACGGACCCACGACGAGGACCTTCCCAAACCCAATCCGGTCCAATAATGGCACGTTTATCAGTGCACCGATAACGAATCCCTGCACCAAGTCAGCATCCCGCCCTTCATATATCGTTAAAACGGGGGGACGCACTACGCAAGCCATGATAAAAATAAGGGACACGACAACGTAATTGACCTATACGATTGTGATAAGCTTCGCGGCAATCCCAAAGAGTTCGATTCATCCACGTACACTGTACACCGTCTGCATCCTCGGGAGCAGCGCCCCCGAACTACCGTCGTTCCATCCCTTTAGAAACTTGTTCCACCAGAGTGCAGCAAACTGGATATGCGCGCGCCGTCGGCAACTTTCGATTACTGTGAGGCCGGGCCTGGAGGACGACGCTCTGGGGACGTTCTCGAGTTCCACTGAGGCGATAGGTTGTTCTGCCATATCGATTCGGACGGAAAGAAAACCAAGGGTTCAATCTCGAAACCCCCCTCCCCCCCTTTCCGCCCCCCTCCTTTCTCCAGATATGTTATTTCCAATACAAATGTTGAAAAAGCACCGGAGAAGGTGACCATCGAACGGGCTTTTCGGTGGTGACGAAGATAACAAGATGAGTCATGAATTGAGGAGTAGACGTTTAGAAGGACCCGGGAGGAGTAGCTTGAAGAAGTGAAGCTAGGGAAGGCCCGGGCCGCAGAGGGCAGCGTACGTTATGTAACCGGCCACTAAAAGATAAAGAGGACGATTTGAAGGCATGAATAGCAGCTGCGTTTCCTTGAGCTATGATTAATACTTCCAGTTACGAGCCTCGCACAGACAGGATTTCTGCAGTCCTGGGTGGTAAAGAGAAGAGTGAATGGCCATGATGCGGACATCGTGATTGTAAGACGCTGAGTTTTAAAAAAAGACGAATGGAAATAGCCACCGGCACGAGTAAAACCTTCCCTTCAAAGTTCCATTTCCTCGATGCTTCGTGCTCACACTCCACTCTTTCCGTCTGATCGGAATTTTTTTTTTTATCAACTCTTGCTGAGTAAAAAACTAAGTATATGTGGTCAGCTGAATGCCATAATGACGTGCAGGACTAAAAAATGTGTGGATCTCCGTTGATTCACATTTCTCTTCCCTGTTTCTGGCTTGAGGAGGGTACACGTGAAGATGTATAGACGTCGCATGGGCATTTCATTGAATCATGGGTTCATCGCAAGTTTACTGTCAGCTATATATATCAAATGCGTAGCTACCTGCTCGTACGTACTGCAGAACCATTCTCGTGCTGCGTTCCATGCAGACTTCTTCGCACCCGAATTAACCCTGATGCAAATATCATCTGACCATCAGTTCTGATAAGCACATAAAACACAGCACGATCACTGCTCACATCCCGCACTGACCATACCATGAACCCACCACCCAAACCATCTCTCTTCGACTCCGAAAACGCCTTCGTCACCTCCCCACTCTTCTCCGCACGGATCCTGGCATGCTTGCGGTTACTCTGGGGGTCCTACGCCCTGTTCACGTTGCTGTTCACGCTTATATGGATAGCGGTGCGCGTCCCCGGAGGCGCGAGCACGTGAGTCCACCTCCTTTTTCCTTGCGACGAACGTGAATCCACGGAGACAGAAACAGATACTTCTCGTACCTCACGAGACTGCACTACACCGGCATTTGCGCGTGGTTCTTCGCTTCGGGCGTCCAAACCGCCTTCTACGCCTCCGCAGACGGCGGCGGCAGGTACCCGCTCCGACGATGGGGACGCGTCTTGCAGGTCCTGCACGAGTGGCTCTTCTCCACAGTGGTAACGATGCGTACGTTCCTTGAGTTAATTTTTTTCTCTCGAGGAGACAGATGCTCATCCGCGAACGGATCTTAGCGTTCACCATAACGCTGACGTTCTTCATCCTCCTGCGCGTCGATCTGGACGCGTCGGTTCCCTTTGACCTCTACTCCAACATCTCCATGCACGTTTTCAACTCCGTGTTTGCCCTGTTCGAAATCCTCCTCACGAATGACCCGCCTCCGGCGTGGAAGTGGCTCCCCGTCAACTTCCTCATATGGGGAGCGTACTTTGGTGTAGCGTATATAACACATGAGGACGTGGGACTATATCGTGAGTCTATTCCTTGCGTCCATGGCAGTCTCGCAGATGAATGACGGTCGGGGCACACAGCTTATTACATTCTTGACCGCACAAAAGTCGGAGGGAGAGGGGTGGTAGCGGCGTATATTCTGGGAATCATCGGGGTGTACGGAGTAACATACGTCGTCGTGCACGGTGTCGCCATCGCAAGACGGAGGTTGGTGGACCGACTGGCAGCAAGAAAGGATGGGGATGGGGATGAGGAAAGGGAGGAAGAGAAATGCAGCATGCAGGCATCAGAGATTGAGGCTGCTTGAACGATGTTGCGGAATATGTCGGAGGATGTATAGATATGGAGCAGGTTTTCCAGTGGCAATGGTCTCATGAGATGATTAACAACTATAGCCCTTCGTTGGCAATTATCGACGCGAATTGGCCTTTGCATCTCAAGTCCAGCTTTTCCCGCCGATTCCCATCCGGGGCTACAAATTGTCCTGGCAACGGGGGCGAACACCTGATGTACAGGAGGGTGTCTAGAAAGTCGGAATGAAGGCTGGCATAGTCACCGCCTCAATGTGCATATTAATGGCTCCGCGCTGTATAGTGATCTGCGGCAGTGGATATGCTGGAGATTGAAATCTGGTCCAGAAGATAGGAAAGAAAAACTGGGGGGAGAATTCAACTGCGTCTAGATTCTGGATTGGGAGGATCTTCATGAAATCGGTGAGACGGGATGGAACAGTGCTCTACAAACAGATTGCCCATGGAATGCATCGATAGGGAGTTTCTGCAGTTCTGAATATCGAGATCCGGTAGGACGGAGGACCTTCTGCTCGTAGGGTCGCTTGTTCGCCCTCCAGCTTCATTGACGGAAAGGTGTTGGATACGGAGTAAATTGTAACCGGGAAGGCTGGACTGAAGGGATGTAGCACCACAGGAGTCACCAAGTCCTTTGAGCATCGAAAAGCAGGAATCAGTTTTAAGGGATAGCTCCGTACTCGATCGATGTGAAGCAAAATTTTACATTTACACGCTGCTGGAATCCAGGTCAAGAATTGCGCAACCTTAACCGTTTGGGCAAGCAGCTCTGAATCACAGAAGGATAAAGAAGCGCTCTGTCGCCCTTGAGAACATCGAGCGAAGGAATGTCCCTCACCGAGAACGGAATTCGGAACGAGTCTTGATTCTTCAGTTTCTTCCTGGCAGTAGAACGGATTACCAACATCTCAACACCACGAAGATGGCCCACCTGCTCGAGGGGAGGGTGCTCCAGATGTGTGTTTTCTACACTGGTAAGAAGCAAGCCCATGGCGGTGAGTTGGCATGGAGTCAAGCTGGCGCTGCCGAGGTACAGTGCCATGATGCTGCATTGGGTGAACTCAAATTCTTGCAGATCCCTGCCACTGGCACAACCTGGCCCAGCGTCAATTTTATTTTCAGTCATACAGAATTTCTGCATGCGGTCAGGAGACCGTGTATTTGATGTTGGGGACGAGCTACGAATTAGAATACCTCGGGGTTTTCCCGGCCTCAGCACAAATTTTATATGTTGTTTCATGGCACATGCATAGGTCAGGTCACAATAGTTAATAGTCGATGGATTGTTGCATGCGCCGCAGAAACACAATGATAGCTCAGCTTGGGGGTTGACTAGATGATAGTGCAGTTACCTGTACCGTCAGTCGAAATTGGAGATGTCGATGCTCGAAAAGAGTCACAATCCCAGAAACGGAGGCCATTGTCACGGCAAGAAGGAAGAACCTCGGACTATTTGCTAGTCATAGTGCGCCATCTCTGTCACCAAAGGTCATCTTGCCATTACGCAAGACGCTCGAATCCCGATCTGGAACCTTGGAAGGATGTACACCTCGTTGATTAGTGTCGCATATCCTTTGGCTGGCTAGAGTTCCGGGCTTGAAGTGGTCGCGAAGGCCCGGAGCGGGTGCTCTCGCTGAACGACGGTCAGTACCCATTTCTTCGAATTCATCTGTGTCTCTAACCTTTCTTGTTGATAAAATAGATAGCTGCCAATCACTGTATGCCGATTTAAACTTTTCAAACCCTCGGTCAAGCCAGATTCGAGTACAGAGTACGGCCTGTCGTTCGTGCTGATCATCCAGCTCGACGCTGAAGGATGTCAGAAGGAAAGAAGTACGTTCCCCATCATGGTTCACCCATGCCAGTTGTCTCGCAAGACCTACAAGATTTGCATAATGTCGACGGGTCCTGATGCCTGCTACCATCCCTAAATACTTGCGAACCCTTGGATTTCTTCTTCCAATTTCCCAGAGGTCCATTAGTCACATAATAATGTCGACACCGGGTGAACCTACCTGTGTCATCTTTCGGTTGTAAGAGAGAAGGAACGACCTCTGCTTCCCCGGGTCCGCTTCCTTCTGTCCTCCATGGCCTCTCTCCCGCGCCTACAAGTCTGTCCTCCTCCTCTCTCTCTCTACCGACCCACTAAACACCCACACCACAGTGTGCTCCTCATCCGCCGGCCAATGCTTGCCCAATGCGGCACCACAGCCCTTCTCTCCAGCACAGGCGACATCATCGCCCAACAAGCCATCGAAAAGCGGGGCCTCAGGCGACACGACCTCCTCCGCACCGTCCGACTCACATTCTACGGAGGCGCCCTCTTCGGCCCTGTCATGACCTGGTGGTACCAGTTCCTTAACCGTATCCAGTTCGTCTCGCCCACCCGCGCCATCATCTACTGCGTATGGCTCGACCAGGCCGTCCTCACCCCCTTGCCGTCGGTGCCTTCTTCACGTGCATGGCGTCCCTGTATCCAGGCTGCATACGTCCTGACCATCCTCCGCAATTGGAACGTCTTCATGCCCACCCAGATCATCAACTTTGCGCTTGTCCCACATCATATGCGTTTCGTCGTTGTCAGTGTCATCAGTTTCGGAGTGACCGTTCCTTGCTGCTCTTTGTCTCGTCGATAGACACGTACCTCAGTGCGGTAAATGCGCATCAGGCAAAGGAGGAGAGGGAACACGAAAAGGTGCCCATGAAGGAAGTGTAGAGGTCTGTCCCCTTACGTTCAGCCTTTCGATGTGTATTCATCACTCTCACAGCGTTGAGCCGGTGTTAATTTATAGAACCACTTAGATACATCCATGTATCCGCTATTTTGCAATCCTTTGGTCGTGAATCTTGTGTCCACATGATTCAAGAATTTGAGACAACCGTAACTGTAATGGCTTCCTCCTCTTCTAATCCAAACCTTTTCCTGGTCTCGTTTGGTACCGCAACCGACCAGTCCCCATCTGCCTGTCCGGAGGGGGTTGCCCAGCACTCACCGCTCTCTTCTCAGGCTGCTATCATCATTTCCCGCCACTCAAACCTAAAAGCCCAAGGACGAGCTCGTCTCCGAGTTCTCTTGCTGGCACGATCCCACTCGTGACTCGACGCCATATCCTTCTCTTTCCCATCCACTTGTTCCCGAGGACCGTGCCCCAGGAATTCGAGCGCTCAACCCTTGCGACTCATCACGCCGAAATGTCCCCCCACCTTGGATTTAAAAAATGTCTCGAGCCTGGACCTATCAACAGACACTAACCCGCCTCAACCGTCTATAGGACCAAAGGCGAGACGTTGGAAGAAATCACCGCATTATTTGGAGACAAAGTCGTCGATTCCGATGCCGGGCATATGCGTGACTGCATCGTGCAAGAGTCAGGATGAAAAACTAGGACTTCTTTATCATCAGGCATGTCATTTTCAAAGGTCTTGTAATCACGTTGAACTTTATGGAATTCTCTAGAGACAATACCTTCGTCATATACATATATCACTATACTAGTTAACACTTGCCACTTCCTGCTCGTCGCGACCAAAATACATCTTCTCTATGCTTGCTCCACCGACGTGTCAAAGTACTCCTTGAGTCTTGCCTGTGGGGAATCTTCCGCCATCTCGAAAGTCCTGGGACAATAGAATATTGGGAAGATGGTCGGCGACCCAATGATGTGATGCATCCATCGTCCTTGGACATCTTGTCCACCGCATTCAGGATTATCGCGGTCGCTCAAATCTGCACCTCGATGCTTCTTCCTCCATAAGAGGTGCGTTCTTGCGTAATCCCACCTTTACCTCTTCTGACGCGCTTTTCGAGGTCCTTTCATCCGACTCTCGGCGTCACATATGAATGAACGAAGCAGGATAAGATACATCATTTGGCTTTTCCGTTAGTGCGTTCACGGCCGTTTGTACCTATGCCGACGTTCTAATGGGCTCTACTAGTTCCCTTCACCGTGTTTCCGGTGGAATATTTCCAAACACCCAGCAGCAGACAGACAGACAGACAGACAAGACCCACCCACCAGCATGATCCTTTGACAGCTTGGTCTGGAGGGATCACGAAGCTTATAATTTAAAGAATATTCATAGCGCCCTGGAGCAAAAACCCGTCGCTTCTTCACCACACTTTCAAAGAACCGTCGCGTCTATGACCAATGCCCATATTTCTCCTCCCATGACTATTGTCTTTTCTTTTCCCCCTGACTAGGATAACTGTCCAATTCAACATCTGCATTGAAGACACGCAGGAGCGCTTTTTCGAACTGAAAGTCGTTTTATTCTCCGCTTACATGTCTTACTGCAGATGCTCTATGCTGTTATGGCGGGGAAGGTTATACCTATGACTGTCCCATTTACTTCTTCTATGGACCCAAAGGGATAACCACTTTTGTATTCAGCCTTATCGGATCAATGCTAGCAGCACTAGTTATGTTCAATATTCAATATTCAATGATCCAGTCACACATTTTTTGAAATAAAAAGATGTTATAACAGATAAAGGCTACAAGAAAATGTGAGGACTACAGTCTAGTACTAGGCACCAGTACCCTCTTCAAGCTGGTCATTGTGTACTGTGAGAATGCCACTGACCCATGGCTGAAAGTCAGTGAAGCTCCTATTCACTATAGGTGAGAATGAATCAGCTCCCATGAGAAAATTTCCCTTCTTGTCATTCAAACCATCATGATCAACCCCATTTGATTGCTGGTACCAGCTTGATCATGATGGTTTGAATGACAAGAAGGGAAATTTTCTCATGAGAGCTGATTCATTCTCACCTATAGTGAATAGGAGCTTCACTGACTTTCAGCCATGGATCAGTGGCATTCACAGACTGTTCATGACCAGGCATCCATCAGGGTCTTGTTTAGCCTCAACCTGGTAACAACAACAGAAAAGGAGGGTGACATAGAAGATGGATTCTATATTATGTCGATAGAGGTGCTCGGGTGGTTGTCCATTTTTGTTGTTTGCGAGAAGCTGGTATGCCATGTAGGGTAGCATACCGGTGTGCTGACACAATGAAGGGCCAGTCTCATGTCGGTAGGAGGACAAGTCAAAGTCATTGATGATGCCACGTAAATGACCGTCGACGGTTCGGCGCCACATGATATTCCCAGGACTGATATCACGCTGGAGGATTCCTGGGTGATCATACAACCATTTGTGAACTACGGCAACCATCAGAACCTGCTAGGGCAAAGAAAACAATAGACACACTCTGCAACATATCAAAAAAGACCTGAGCATACTCTTGAACTGTCCGCAGTTCTTCCAGAGGATACAGCCTCTCCTGGACCATAACTTGACAGATGCGCTTTTCATACTCGAACTCTTTCTCCTCTGCGAAGAAAGCCACAAGATTCGCCTGAGTAGAATCCGCACTATAGTCAAAGTCTTGAGAAAGGAGAATGTCAGGCAAACGGTCTAAGGCCCAGTCTGGCCTTTTCCCTTGCGGCATGGATCGTGCTTTCTCTCTGGCTCTAATGACAAACTCTGGCTCTGATTTTCCACTAGCGGCTGGACAGCTGATCTTGACAACCAGTTCTTTATCCTTCCACTCATTGTGCACTGATGTCGCCTCAACGACGCAAGTACCCCGACCAATAATCCCAGGCTGGTGTGAAAGAATTCGGTCAAGGGTGACCTCAACGTTCTTCTCGTCTTCACCCGACTTCAGCTTGAGCTTCACCCCAACAAACATCACCGTCTTGTCCTTGTCCTTGGGGTTGCCACACCTGTCCATGTACGCCTTGTAATTCTCGATGAGCGCCCTGTCATCGCAGAAGTCCTCTTGGATGCTCCGCTGCCTCAGAGTGAGTCGACCCAATCCTACAAGCATTGCAGCGAACTCATCCGTCACAGCCTCTTCCGTAATCTTCGGCCGCTTGCCATGCAATTTAAACATGTCAATTGGTTTGCACACAATGATGACGGAGTGATCATAGTAGAGGGGCTGTATCTGTCCTACCATAACGAGAGCGCCAATACAGTGCGTCCGAAAACCGGCGCTAGACAGCATCTCGAGAGCGTAGCGACCACATTGGAGGCGGACGGCTCGGCGGGCCTGGCTTTCTTCCTCCTCCCATCGTGCAACATCTTCTGCTGTGATTCTCTCTTTGGCAGAACTAAGTGCCATCGACTCGTCTGTTCCTCTCCTGGCCTGCGAAACTTCAGGTGTCGTCTCAGAGCGTGGATACTTGGAGTGGACATGAGGAGTCACATCTTCTGAACGACGCTTCTTCGTGATGGAGCCTGTCTGCGACTTGACAGGAGGGAGGATGCCACCAGGGTCTCGGCGGATAGTGGTTTTGCCTCTCACCTCTCCCTTAGGATCCTCGCCCTCTGAATATAGGTATCAGTGAGAACAAAACAATAGGAAAAGAATAGTGCTTACCAGGTGTTGTAACTCTATAGCTAGCTTCCGTTCCCTCGTCCAGGTAGTGCTCATTAGGCTTGAATTCCTGCCAATGCATTGTTTGCGCCCACGAAAAGTTATACTTTGGGCCATTGCCCTTCATGTTATCAACCACATTTCCAGAACTGTTAAACATCGCACGAAGAACACCCAAGGTATCAGGAACGATCTCTTGTACACCGCCGTCAAGTGGCTTTGCGTCTTGTCGATAAATTCCAAGTCTAGAGCCTTCAGTGGCACTGACAACATCGAATGCACTGTTACACATCAGGCAGCGGGGATGGTAGAAGGTCTTCTCCCCAGAACTGCTTTCATTGCATAATTCGATGTAGGTCTTGACGTGATTCTTGAATACAACGTCGTTTTTGACGGCCTCGATTTTGGACATTATCTCGCCATTCGTCCACCAGTTATCAAGAATGTGTAGAATATTGGTGAAATAATGGTCGGCGGACATGAAAACGTGGTCTCTGAGGTTTTCTAGGATGTACCGGTCGAAATCTGTCACAAGATGATCCGGATTGGTTGTGGGATTCACAATTGGGGTGTGATTGCTAAGTGGAGTACTCTGCACAGAGGAGCATATCTGTTCAGCTACCGACTCTTTTGACGGCGGAGTCTTCATCTCTCGGGTGGAGGGGAAACCAGAGCCATCATTCCGAGGCGAAGATTTCGAATCGTTTTTCGCACCCAAAGCCATAATATCACGATGATAAAACCGAGTTGGGTAGAAAGTGAGTAGGGGGTCAAGGAAGAATACAGCGGCAGCCATTTTTGCGTGATTTTACGGTCGGTTACATAGAACACTGGTGGTAGTGACAAGGTAAACTTTCGGAAACACGTGGTCGTGTGGCGTCAATCGTATTTCAATTTGTCACAATAGGCAGGGGGTGACATTAAACACCATACCAACTCACTTTATATAGTACTGTAAGGTGTAAAGTGATAGTTTTATGACGCCTCTGAAGCATTCTTACCATCCCTTTTCCTCGATATAGCAGGTCCTGGCAATCCATGCCGACATCAACCAGTTGAAATAGTATTATCCTGCCACCAAATTAGTTGCCGACTACTCGGCTTATCGCCAAAGTCGAGATTAACTGTTATTTTGAACGCCGATGCAGTCAAGAGATCTGAAATGACTTCGGCGTCAAGTCGAGTCATAGGCCATTGACAAATAACCTGCCGTTTACATAAATCATTTGCGTGGCCGTTATATTTATTGGGATAACTCATTGTATTTTCGTCCCTAAGTACTATCGTTGCCTGGTGGAACTGGGCCAACTATCGTTTCCACTGGCACTGAATGTCATAGACTGATTTTCTTTGAAACCATCATGCCGAGGATCGTGAGGCCGATCAGCATAACAATGAAAGAATCTGGATCACTATCCATGTCGATTTCTTGCGATATGATGATTGAGGAGCGATCATAGGAAAGCCTTTGAAGATGAGTACCCCCCAATCAAGGCGCCAATGCTGTGCGTCCTAAACCCGGCACTAGACAATTTACGTTTCTGTCCCGCCACGACGCCGACACCCTCCGGATCCCGGGGTAGCATATATACCTTCTGACGAGAAGGATTTCCCATTGAATCCTTGTCTGGTGAGTAACGCGTCAGCCAAATTCTATGCGTCAAAGAAATGCAAAAACTTACCTGCTGTGAGGACTCCAGTGGCATACTGACCATTATCCAGGGTAGTCACGCTCAATTTGAATTCAAGCCACTGCAAAAGCTGCGGCCACCCAGTACTGTTCTTTGGGCCCGCGGTTTTGATGTCTTCGATGTTGTTCTGAGAGCTGTTGGCATCTGGTTTAAGGTCAGCATTGCTCCCTTTGACAGGCTGAGAGTCTTGTCGGTAGAAACCAATCTCAGGCCCAGAGGGTGAGTCGTCCTTGATCGCTCTATTGCACAAACCGTTGTGTGGGTGGTACAAATTCGTTTCATCCTTGGTCCTGCATTCGTCCTTGTAGTCATTCCGCAGTGTCTTCCACCTTCTGCGGCCATCTTAATTCTTATCTTTAGCAGAGCTTACAAGCAGATTTCGATTATCAACCCCGGGCCCGGTTCTTTTCTTTGCTCGTCAGGGTAGAAATCGCGGTGGGATGGAAGAAACGCGACATGACGCGGGGGAGGTTACTAACAACGAGCTCACACGCAGCGACTCCGGAACACCGTGGTCGAAACACCGGCGGGAGTTCTTTTAGTCGTTTCTTCTCCACTGTATTATGCTTCACTAACAACGTACACCCGCGTCAACGGTTACAACCCGTTCATAGGCCTCCATTAGCTTAGAGAAAGGAAGGGCATAACGGGCATGAAGCAAGCAGTGAGAAGGTAGGTCAGCGGGTAATAGTGAAATTGGCCTTGCACGCAGGGCTCACGGATGGAGAGGTAGACACAAGCGTGGTGAGGCGTGCAATCAACACAAGGACGCAGTGACAACAGCAGGCAGACATACGTTCTGAACTGTTGAGGAGCCAGACTCAGCGGTCATTTGTAGAGGAAGAATCGACAATTAGGACAATTAGGATTCCTCCCTTCGCTGAGTAAGGAATAGGTGGGATCTGGCCAGGAGGCACTACAGTCAGTCATCGAAAAATGCAACGGCAGCAAGAGGAAATTTTTTGACCAGCCGAGGCGTGGTTATCGCGCGGCAATATATCGTGATCACCTAGAGAATTTAGTTATACAGACGGCACCCAGCAGCAGCCCAGCCGATTCCATGGCGGTCGTGGTTACCAAAACAGAGGGTGGACGCATTTATACCATACATGACGAGCTTCTTGCCTCAGACATGAGATGCACGAGAGCCTACCAAAACAGAGCTGATGTGGCCGACGTCCGCGGCGGCGGGAGCAGCAAGCGTGTTGCCATTGGCAGGAGATTGAACGCCCGGGGCGGGAATGGACTCATCATCCCCGCCTACGATAGGCGACGGCGACACAGCGTGAGGGCGGGCGTGGAAGAGTATAGTGACAATGACAGTGATGGTAAAGAGAGTGTGTGATTTTTTGCTGAGAAAGCGATAGAGATAGTAGTAGAGGGAAGAGTTGTGAGATGGTGGGGTTTGGGGATTCCTCGCGCACCTTTTATACCCACTCCGGGTAGCGCAGATCCCAGCCACAGTCGCGAGATGGTGACGGAATGCATTATTACACACATCGACGATGTTAGTATTCCCCGATTGGGGTGATATTCGTGTTCAACATCCTGATCCCAACACTTGGATGGTCGTTCTCCAGACAGTGCTCGAGGATTCCCGCTCGCCCAACCGAGAAGCTGTGATATCGCGCAACTCCCTCATCCCCAGTGGCAGACCGACATCGAGTTCAAGGTGGAACCAAGAGCACGCAGAGAATATGCGCACCATCAGTGACATAGTACATCCTCATCCAGCCTCGTTACCACAACTTCCTCTCATGGTCAAAAACACATACATAAAAGACATAAATATATCGTCAGTCAAACAGAATCAAGTAATAGAAACGCCCGTCCACACACAGCGAAAACCCCATCTACTCTCCAGCAAACAGACGAATGATCAGATACGTCGACGCCCCCACAAACCGCACAACTACAACAACGCGTGTCAGAACGAGGCACCCAGCGGACTGAGAAGGACAGGACGTACACGCAAGCCCGGCAACAGAAAACAATATAAACGCCATATAACCTTTCACGCTATTAGCAGCACTCGTATCTGAGGCTTTACTATTCGCAGACCTGTAAAAAAAAAACCACTTAGATCACTCGGACGCATTAACGGTAAATCAACATACACAATAGCGGCTCCCAAAAGCGCGTTCGACAATGTCCAAGCAAGAAGAACCTAGTCGGAGCATAAGCCTGAGAAGACCCGCATCATACCAGAGCAGCTTACATTAGTCCTGAACGTCCGGTAATAGTCCTCTTGTTGTGTCGACACATCCGGCTTGCTTTCTAGCTTGGGTGGCTTGGCGCTCAACACGTGCAGCGCATCGTCGTATGCCGCGTTGCGCTCCTCCGGCGTCGTCGGCGCATCCACCGACACCTCATTCGTGTCCGACTCCTTCTTGACCACACCAAGATCCGTGCTGATTTTGTTATCACCCTTGGTTCCCCACGAGACGTCATGGACATTGGCGAACTGATGGAGAAAAAAAAGGTCAACCAGTGAACAATAAGAGTTAGTGAAGCAATACTAACAGCGTAAACGTTCAAAACTGATATATAAGATGGTGCCATGAGAAGATACTGGATGAAAGAGGTGATCATATGCCAAGGTTCAAACTGCGCAGAGATCTTCAGACAACGCCCAGTGTAGGGAGGTTCGACCACTCACGAAAATTAAACTTGAGATCAAGTACAATCCAAGCGTAGCCAACAGTGAGAGCACGATGTTTCTAAATATGGAATTCGTAAACAGATCGTTCAGGTTCAAGCTTCCTTCGGATTCTGATATATTTTCAATTCCTTTGATAGCAAGGAAGAAAGCGGCGAACTGATGACACAGGTATGAGAAACCATGAGTTTGCCAGCGTGAAGGACATACCGTCATGTAGACTGTGATCATCGCAAATCCAAGAAAAGCCCCGGTGTACCCCCATTTACTTCCTTGGGGTCGATTTCCCAACGCGAGAAGGAAACACATTATCACAAGACCGAGGTAGACATAATTGATGATGTCGTTGAAGACATGAATGCCCTTAAGACCAAAGCTCGTATCTTCCATGGCGTCAGAGAGGATGACGAATGCGATGTAATAATTAGCCTAGATCAAATCGTGAGGGGTCAAGGTCTTATCGGAGTCGATAAATATTTACACACCAAAGCGAACCAACTGAATATCAGGTTAAAGCACTGATAAAACATCTCAACGTGGATCCAGAATTTGCGTAAGAACGTGTGCGAGCTCCGATAGATGTAGTAGAAGTGCAGAGTACTGAACACAGCAGCGAAGAAGGAACCGTTGAGCCATCGACGACGCTGGGATATCAATTCCGCAACCTGCCAATGGTCTGAGTGTATCGTCGACTCTTGGAGAACAAGATGCCTACCGTATCGGGTACATCGGTGACAGCGTAGGCTGACTTGACGTAGTGAAGAATCCATGCGCCGCCCCGTTTCGATACCAGTTCCCAACAAAGGATCTACGTATGCGTTGTCAGCTTGGAGTCGTACGCAGATACAGGAATAAAACCTACACGATCTTCAGCGAGGTACATGTTCGCCGTAAAGATGTCAGCTCCGGCACCATGCTACGGAGCAATGTTAGCAGCCGAAGGTCCGCAAATGAGCATTCTTACCATCTTCTCTCCAAGGAAGTACTTCTGCAGCGGTCCTTCACCTTTGGCATCATTCTGCAAGGCGATGTACCGATATGCGCTGAACGCTCCAGGCAAGACAGTGATGTAACCAAAGACAGATTCCCTACAGTCACGTTAGCGAGAACCCAAGACGATCAAAATGGGCACTGACAAAGGCTTGTCAAGAATGTTGGACATCTTGTACTCAAAGTTCTGAGCAGCAACTACAGCAAATGTTAGAAGTCTGCGTGCGCCTCTATGCTGTGGTACTCACCCAAAGGATTGATGAGGTTCCGGCCCCATTTGCCCTTCAATGCAACGATCTCGCCGCAGGCACCTCCAACATTAGAGTTAATATCAAAAGCCTAAATGTTCCATAAGCTTCAGACTATCAGAACCCGGTATTCAATACCCACCTTCCACAAATGATAGATACTGGTGACACCCGGCATAGTGCCTACATCAAGGAGAACACAAACATTGGGGTTAAGGATAGGACCGAACGCATTGAAGAACCACCGATGGGAGTTGATTTTCTTTTGGTTCTGCTCTTTCAAGCAAAAAATGATCTGAACGGGAACATGCTTCTTCTCCGCACCTTCGAGCTTGAGAGACGGTGTCATAGAAACTTGAATATAGAGGCAATCAGGATGAAGGTCAAAATACGATGAAAAACCTCACCTTGTGTGGTGTATTCGTAGATATGGGCGGTGACGGGCTTCTCGTCGATCATATTCTGAATCGAAAATGAATGATGATATGAAGGACAGCCAAGCCAATAACAGACCTTAGCAATACCCTCCTGGTAGACACCCATAGCAGCGATGACACTAAGCGTTCTCGAGTTGATCTTCTTCCGTCCATCACTAACAATGCACACAACCACTTTCTTCCATCCATCTTTTCCCCATGTTTGACTCCTTGTCCTTGAGCATAAATGCGCGATATTCTTCATAACACCATGCATCGTCCGACAAAACAGTTCCTCATCTTCGTTGTACATAGTCATGACGATGAAGAGTTCGGTTCGCCGCCCGGGAGTATACTCCAACTGCCGGAGACCAAAACCTTCAGACTGGAAATCATTCGGATCGCAGGTCGCCGCCGTATACCGCATATGGGTGAACTCGCGGTCGGTGCGGTTCTGGCACAACTCGAGGAGCTTTTCGGGTACGTCATTTTCTACGACGTAATGCCCTTCCCGCAAAGCTACCCGACGCGTAGTTTTGTACCGTCGTGGCACGCGCTGCGGAATCCGACCATAACGGATGAAGTTCCCGTCGTCGTCGTCGTCATTGGACCCTCCGTAGCTGCCAATGCCACCAGGCATAGGCATGTCAATAGGTGGTGGTTGGGGGGAGTGTCTCGTCAACAATGGGACATCACCTGGGTCTTCAACTTCAACTGATGGTTCGTCGCGCAGCTCGTAAGATTGCGCGCGGTAAAGCGAAGAGAGGGAGCCCCCTGCTGGTCCTGGCGCTCCTGGTGTGGGTGACAACGTCCGTTGATATGGCGTACTGAGGTACTCGTGAGATGGAGGTGAGGACATTGGCACAATAGGAGCGCCATAAGGATCCAGATGCTGAGGAGGCGGCGAGGTATGGTATCCTCCAAGAGGCGGAAGAGGGGGCGGCGAGGAATAGGTATTCGGGTGAGTCTGTTGGCCATAGAACGAATCTGTATAAGGCGGTTGGTCATACTGTGACTCGAACGGCGATGTGTAGGGGGCTGGAGTCGTGGTTTGAGCGTACGGTTGATATCCATCATTAAAATGCCTGTGCTGGGCCTCGTCGGCCTTTCCCACCAGTGATATCAATACAGAGAGATGTGGAGATAGACGATCTACGCACTTCTGGATATTGCGACATGTTGCGAGGGAGAATCAACCAGGTTGGCCACACTGGAAACGTGGGGGTAATATTAGGAGCTGGAGCACTGCTTTATGTCAGCGCTGTGGGATCGCAGCAACGGGCGATGATCAATGCTCTTGGCAGCTGCGGAATAGAAAGAACGGGCAAAAAGTGAATGAAGAGAAAAAAAAGCGGAAAGGATGGTCGCGGTCGTGGTGGTCGTTGATCAAGTCTAGATCGGCGGGTCGGGAGTTCATTGCCATTTTTGGGAATACAGCCGAAGTACTGTCCCAAAAAAATCTGCGACGTGATGTCTATCATATGGCAAGGATCTCCCAGTTTTTCCAAATCTCAAACTCTTTATTCAGTGGCTGACAATAAGACAAAAGGTCCTTGCTATTTACTCTCTGCCAGCAGACTCCTTACAAATGGCCAAACTCGTCTAAACAGAGTTTGTTGATACACCACTTCAGAAGCCCGACAATCGTGCCATGTTCTGCAGGTAAACTTGACTTAAGTTTGACAGTCGTTTCCTAACTCTTCCGTTCATCGAACCGATACCACCGAATCCGGTATGTCGACGGATACCTTTTGCAGTCCTCAGTGCCGACGCATGTTCTTCTCTAGTTAATGCCCAGAAACCGATACGCTCTGACATTGCACATCGTTGACCATGGTCTAATCTCTAATCAGAGGTATTCATATAGAGGGTGAGTCAACAATGTCTACAAGAAGTTGTCGAGTTTTTACCGAACGTCGGCTCCAGTTGAAATTCCAAGTCAAGTTCGGATGAAAGCCTGGAAGTGGAGCTGAATCGCACATGTGACGAGACGCGTTTTGAAGGCGGTCAACGCGTCTTTTCCCCGTATTCCGAGCTGTCGGAGGCGCCGCGCAGCTGTCTCGCGTCAATCCTGGCTTATTATTATGAGCCACTTAGACCTATGAATGTTACTTCTCCCTAGGACCGCCTTATAGCTCACTCGTTCGTTGGGTGTCTATGCTCGGACCCAGCTTGCCAAAGATGACACCTGGACCAAACCGCCATCGTTCTAGCTTCTTCACTTATCTCGTCTCCAGGGAGATGCCCTACCAACGACGCCAGGCTTCGAAACTTGACTGCACAATTCTTACGTGTACTTACGCGTTCGCACCTTTCCGCTCTCACTGCAGGAGCGAGGTAAAAACAACTTTAAACAAGACCTTGATTCAAAAGGTTTCGTTTTATTTAAGATGCCCTTTCTCAGTCCTTGAAATATGGTCAGTAAAGGACACGAAAAATTGCCTCCCCCCCTCTCCCCCTTAAGCTGATGGAATTAACCTTTCATCTCGTTTCACAGCAAGAATTATTAGGACCGAAAACCCCAGTCCGAAAACGTAAACATGGAAAATCTCGTTTCTCCCTATGTAAAGCGCGCCGTTCCCTGCAGTATCTGGTTCAAACAGGAAACGGTCTCTTCCCTGCTAAACTTGCCCATTCGTGTATGTAAGTGATTTATATATCCATTCCCCCCCCCTAATGCACTAAGGGGTGTTAGTGTATAGGTGTGGCCTGCCATTTTCGTCCTTAGAGAAAGACTGAGGGGCCAGTTACGATAGCGGTACCATTAATCGTCAAAATACTCTCCCGAACGTACACGAATCGCGTTTCATGTTCACCAGGCCGGGTCCATCGGGCCGATAGCCGGATACGCAGGTTTTTCTCAAGAGAAACCGTCTTTATGATTTAATCGAGATAATACCCGGGCCTCAACATCCTTCTCTCCTTATCAATGTCTGCCATAGAACTCGACATCCTCCCGCGAGTCAAACCTCCAACCGAGAATGACGAAGCCGAAGTGCAAACCATCATGATCGCTCCTCAGGCCGAGGAAAGCCATGGCGACCTCGATAAGACCCGTAGAAATAACTTGCGCGGACATGTCCAGTTTGCTGCTGTCTGGTGGACAAAATGTCTGAACGGATGGAATGATGGCACCTCTGGAGCACTGTTACCCAGGATGCAGGCGGTGTATCATGTACATTCAGTTTTCTATCCGCTTTACGCATTCTAAATCGCCTTAGGTCAACTTTGTTGTCGTTTCTCTTATCTTCGTAATGGCTTGTCTGGTAAGAGTCAACCATAAATGAACGACATGCGCTAAAAAGGGGGGGTCTTTTCCAGGGATTCGTAGTTGGAGCCCTTATAAATGTCCCATTGTTGGACAGGATCGGGTTTGGTAAAGTTCTCGTTATCGGTCAGTGTGGGGGTCTCAAGGCCGAAATATATGACTCACCACTTGTACGTAGGCGCGTTCTGCCAGGTCGTCGTTTACGCTTTGCAGTCAGCAGCACTGCCCTTCCCAGCGTTTGTAGTCACATTCGCAATTAACGGAGTGGGTATCGCTTTGCAAGACGCCCAGGTCACAAGTTATGTCGCGAGCCTCAAAGACCACCCTGATATCAAGATGATGATCCTCCAGGCCGCGTACGGTGAGTAGAAAAACCTCGTGCGCTTCCCACCGTTAAGTTTCTCTTTCACAGGTGCTGGTGCGTTAACAGCCCCGCTGGTCGCCACCCAGTTCTCACAAATGGCCCATTGGTCTTACTTCTACCTCGTATCCTTGGGAATCGCCGTGACAAACCTCATAGTCCTGTGGAGCGTTTTCCGATTGAAGCCGCTGGAAGGTGAGATAATCCATCAGGTATGATTTGACTGCCAACCCGCATGATAGCCTGTTTCGCGCAAATCGGCCAGCTGCCTGAAGAGCACCATCGTGATACCGGAAGAAGCGGCCACAACAAGATGCGCCAATTCCTCGGGATGAAAACTGTGCATATGCTGGCCGCTTTTGCTCTTGTGTATGTCGGTACTGAAGTAACGATTGGAGGTGCCATGCTTCTTACCTTCCTAACCTTTCAGGCTCTCACATTTTCCCTAGGCTGGATTGTCACTTTCATTGAGCAGGTACGCGGGGGAGGCGCCTCGTCTGGTTACATTTCGTCCGGTTTCTTTGGCGGTGAGCAATGTCCTTCAAGCTCTCGACTGCTCAGTAATCCGGATAATAGGGCTGATGTTGGGACGACTCGGCCTTGTATGGGTTAATCAGAAGGTGCATAAAAACTTCATAGACAGACGATTGCTAACAGTGTTTATACAAGCTGGGCGATCGTATCTCGCTGTATCTGTATTCTTGCATTGCCATTGGGTGCGTGAACGTGCTCCATCCTATTCAAACAATTCACTTATCCCAGTCTACTCCAGCCTGGAACTCGTCGTATGGTTCGTACCCTCTCTCATAGGAGGTGCCGTTGCGGTCTCTCTCGTAGGGTTCGTGCTCGGACCGATGTACCCCATTCTGATGAATCATACTGGGCGCATCCTTCCTCGATGGTTACTATCTGGCTCTATCGGCTGGATCGCGGGCCTAGGTCAGGCAGGCAGTGCGCTTTTTCCCTTCATGACTGGAGCCGTCGCGAACAAGGCAGGGATTGAAAGCCTACAACCGATGTGAGTTTTTTGCTACCACTGTGTGACGCTCTTATATCCTGAGACTCGTTAGGCTCCTAGGATTTCTGGGTTTGATGATCGGTCTCTGGACATTGGTCCCAAAAGATGTGAGAAGGCCAGATTGAATGACGTACAGGAGGGCTTCGCTTTGTCTGATAAGATGATAGTCTTCCGAGACATATCTTTCGTTAGGAGACAATACAATTGCATTCCAGCTAATACTTAATACATGGGAACCGTGTAAGGGTTACATGGGGGATCAGAGCAGACTCCTGGGTGGCCTCCAATACAGGCTGTCGGACGAATGCGTCCACTGGATCATAGCAAATAAATACGCCAACACGCCCAATGCATACGCACCGAAGATGGCTTGAAGTACATGATAAGAACCAACCCGGCGCTAACAGCAGAAGACGACGTACCTTTTTTTCGTTCCGGAAAGACGACCACTTCTAGTGGGAGATGAGGTACACCCATGAAATTACAAAAAATGTGAGAGGTGATGGACGGAAAAATGGATCCGGTACGGAGGAAGAGATACGCGCAATGGGACCCGAAGAAGCTGGTGTAGAATAACTGGAATGCTAAGAAACCTTCAGTAAAGACACCAGTTGTATATCAAAATCTCGACGTACAGATAGCCGTGGCAGCATGCTTTGCAGCGACCCATGTGCGGCCACAGCGATTGTAAAGATCCCAAGCGTGGTGAAAATGTGCTAGTTGAATGTTAAGTACATACTTTAATGGTCGTAACAGCAATAACAACTTACCCAAACTAAACCATAGTGGCGCCAGAACAATCATGTGCAGGCGAGATATACCTGAAAGATGATATATGGATAGAATGCAAGCCCGGAAAACAACCTCCTCCGTATATGGAGCCTAGAAGGCAGAAATATGAACTCCAGTTTTGATACGATGAAATCTATTTTGTGATACTGACCACCAGATAGTTACGGAGGCCGGGGAGAGAAACGACCTTCTTAATCGTCGACTCTGTATTCCAGTACCGTTGGAATGGAAGGATTTGATATAGGTAGCGAGAATAAAAAGGACCAATGAAAAGCAACGGTGTAACGAGATGCGCTTTCATGGGATGAGAGAATATAAACCCAAGTCTAAAGAAAGTGACGTGAACTCCAGGGTAGAACTGGCACGAGGCGGTCAATTAGAAGCGCAAGTATTAGAAACAGGCCACTCACTCCATATAACGGCCAGAGCAATTGGAAAATCCAGAAACACGATGCTATCGTCGCCAGCGACACCGCAAGCAGTCGTGCTCGGATAACGTCGGCATCGTCTCGCCAACGCTCATTCAGCTGTCTCTGACGCGTAGTTCCCTCATGCACCTTGGTCGACCAAGCGACGAAGGAAAGACGCGCATTCTTAGACAAGTACAGAGAGCCGACATATATAACTGTGAAACAGAAAGCGAGAAAATGGCCTTGACTCTCAGAAAACAGTGGATCGACGAGCATGGTGCAAAGTCTCGAAGGTGGTGGTGATTGAATGAATCCAAGTGGAACAAGTCGCGATCGAGCTATTTATACACTTTTCGGAATTTCAACAACTATTTATTAGTGGTATTGTTCTATTTCTCTGCAATGATGGTTTTTGTTTCAAAAGGCACCACCATAAATAGACGTAGACTATAGAATCATACTTCTTGCGCTGACATTGTTTCATCCATGCCACTGATTTCAGGAGGCCACTGCAAGCCACTATTTAACGTTGAGCTTCGAACCAGCTTTTGAAGCACATTGTCTGAGAGATGCCACATTCCTCAATCCCGGAAAGATGCACTTTCCAAGTCAACATTAATCTGTTCATGTCGACGGTGCTAATCGTTATCGACAGGGTAATGAATACAGCAAGAGGACCTGCTGTGTTCCTATGTGCTGGTTGCCCAAAGGACATGTTCAATACTCATCACCATTATTAGGAATCAAATTGCATTGAATCAAAATACACTGAATACGTTGGTTCCGGTGACTTATACAAATGAGGTCGTTCTCCTTGAATAGCGAATGAGTGGAAAACAATCTCTACATATCAGACTCACAATGATACCCAACGATCTTCGAGATCGTACAGGCATAACTCGACATTGACCGTCAATAATCATGGTGGTATATGATATTTCCAATCTTGTCCGTTATGAAACCAGGCCGCCCGATCGAAAGGCGTGCGGAAGTGACATTCGCTGCGGAAGAATCAACGATGAACAAAAGAGGGGGCCATCAAGCTGACTGACATCAATGAAGGACAGTACATCTTGAGCTCCGATGCGAATACCTTTGTTATCATGGACTGCGGAATCGGATTCCATATCCCACTATGGATTACTAGTTCGATACTTATCAATTTCTGCATCTGCATTAGCGTGCGATGAAGCACCGATCTCTAAAGAAGTGATGATGAGTCAGCGAATGCTGAAGAAACACTGTGGACAATAACTTACATCAAGCCAAGGCAGCGGTATCAGACCCAGAGTCCGAATATCTGGACATGTAGCAGCAATGATATCCAAAACCTGGTCCACAACAGCCGGGTCATGTGGTATGTGCGTCACACCTAGATTCCGCAGAGTGTTGCGTATTTTTGACAATTTTGGCAAGACCTGTAAAAGAGTCGGCCATTCTTCGTCTGTGCCCATGATGAGCCGGGTAATTGGCGGTTGACACGGCGCAGAGAGTATATCATGTACGATGGTGACATTTCCTGACAGTTCACGCAAGTCCTCGAGTAGGATGCCGTCATATAAAGACGGCGTTCCCGGCTCGTACGCATGTCTTACGTCCTCTTCCGTGGGATCCGCATAGTATTGCAGGCGTTGGAGGTCCGACTGGGCACAAATGAATTCCGCCATCTGAGAGTTATACGGCACGCCATACATCGTCAAAGAAGTGAGGTTAAACGGGAATAAGCATTCTCCCGCGGCTTCGGAGCTGAACACCCAGCTTGGTACGGCGTATTGTTCGGCTATGGCGAGAGATAGAAGGTTGGGAAGCTTCTGAAGTACTCCATGAAAACTTTTCCAGAGTTCGGCTAGATACGTTGTACTAGGCGGCGTGTACCGGGTGGGCTGTGACATGAGGCTGAAGGCGATAACCAGTTCTGCGATGCGGGGCTGGGTGATGATTGTCGTGCAGAATTGTTTCAGCCGAGCGAGGGAGTCAACCCGAACACTGTGGTACAACGCCTTTTCAGATTCTCGTTGCCATGCTTTATTTGTTTGACAGAGTGCCAAAAGATCCTTTGGATAGCCTCGCCGTTGGCCACTGATGTATTTAAGAATTTCCTGGCATATTTCTGATGACGAAAGGATATCTTCCATAGTCATTTATGCTTATAACAAGCTCAGAGAGAGTCAAAGCATAGCACAATAACGCTCACCTTTAGACCCGAGGAATATCTGAAATTTTTGATACTTCGTTAGAACATTGGATTAGCAAAGAAACTAGGTTCAGCTTACAATGCCTGCCCGCGAAATATACCCTTTGCCTCCCAGTAACAGCGGAAAGGAAAGGAAAGACGCGTCGTCGTGGGTGTACAAAGACAAGAAACAACAGCATCGGGCTGGCGTCAGTCAATTGAGTAATGTAGGAGCTTTCCATTTTTGGAGAGAGGGGGGTGGACCCCCCGGCAAAATCGGCCTGACAGGGGTAATAGCATATTGATTCGACTGAGGCCTACGGCACGGGACAACGATGATACGTCGTTAACAAAGGGAACCAGAGAGAACTTATAACCACTGCCGACACGGGGTCATACAAAGATTTAAAACGTGTACTGAACGGCATGTGGAAAGCATGTCAAGTCAGTGGTGATGAGTAAAGTAGGCGCCTGTACACTGGCAAAACCATCGGCAACTTCATGTGGTCGAGCAGGCAGTTAGCAGTACTAGTTAATTCAGAAGCAAGACGGCCGTACTCGTTACATGAAGCTTGTGCGGTGAGAAGTGGCTCGCTAAGATTGACATTGTACCGTCTACGTGAGGGCGTCGCCCCAGCAGGCCACATCTGGATGTTGTCATCAGTAAACAAGGTTCTGAAAGTTAGTGTACCCACACTAGAACCTTCTCCGAAGACGAAGGCCGACCTCGGTAAGCGATTGCCCTTGAGATCGATACTCTTGATTGCAACACAGACAGACGTTCCTGGAAGGTTGCACTGAGTAGAGTACAGATGCATGAAACCGGACCTCACCGAGCAAATGCTGCGCAGCGGGACCTCAGACCTGTACCCAGCCAGTGCGAGCTATCAGAGAGCATCCTGTTGCCAGGGACCTAGACAAGGTTCACGGAATACGGCTAGTCTGCTTCAGGCTCAATAACATCCTGATAGCACCGCCAAAAGGAGGTGTCTAGGAACGCACAAGGCACCCGGTGTTGACGGACCGCGTAAATCTCTCCCAGAGAGATCGAACGTCATGTCGTAAAGCTGCTTTCCTTGATCATATGGCAACATTGTCCTTCGCTGCCTTCAACAGTGTTGATAGCATCAAAGCACGGCCTTATAAGTAATTATCGGACCTGGGTAACGGCGAAGAGTTTACGACCAACGAATAATGTGAATACTGATACTCACAGGATTGAGAAAATATCATTTCAATTACGCGTACTGTATTCGTGCCTCCCTCTCCCTCTGTGTACCGTAATCCGTCGATTGAAGAAAAAGACCTATAAATGAATGTCATAGATTCTCGGACAAGGGACCGTCTCTTGCAGTCTTGTGAAAAGGGGAGACTTCACTAGGTACAAGAAGCAAGAAGCTCATGAAATGCCACAACGTACGCTGATGAGAAATGCATTGTGATTGTCAGATTGATGCACTACAAGAGGAGGGACAAAATCAGAAGCGTATGAACAAGAAGAAACATACTAAAGGGAATGATCTGAATTTACATCTGCGTAGGGTAGTAGTGGATATGAATAGTTAAAAATACGCGCGATCGGTCTTGGGTGATACGGATGGTAAATCGTGTTCTTAGAAGGTCTCCTCATCATCTGTCTGGCCTTCCGGGACCTCAAAGCCGTCCTGTCACGACGTCAGAAAAAGTATTAGTGAGCAGCAACAGGAACTGACCTCGGTCGAATACAGAATCTTCTGGATATCCTTCAAGGTGGCATCGCCCTTTCCTGAAGCCTCAAGGGCTTCCACCTGTGCTTGCACGAGGATCTCGATCTCCCGGAGCTACCAAACACCTGAGTATGCGAACCCCCTCAACAAATGCAAGGACCAACAACGTACCTTCTCAAAGTAGAAATCTCTCTCCTTCTCTAGTCCCTCCAAATGCGAACTAAGATCCTTGATCTGATTTTGAAGATGCTGAACGGCTTCATTGGGCTGAGTGGATCCCGCCCGATGTCCGCCTATCGGTGTTCGTCCTCCCGCTCGTGCACTTGTTCCAAGACCACGGCTGGTTCCAGCTGAGATAGGTGCCATCGTCGCGGGAGGATCAGCCGGAGCACCCTTGCGTCGAGCCACCGGATCGTAACCTTGCCCACCATAGTTCTGATCCCAGTATCTCTTGATCCACTGAAGAAATTCGAGGTTGTCCCTAGGAGGAAAAAGGTCCCAATGTCACGATATCGCTGAGAATAGTATTCACGCACTGCATCTTGCACTTGACCAATTTTTCCACCGGTATCGGCTCGAAAAGAGATAGAATATGAGATTCTCCGCAACGACTGCAAATACTACATTCCAACACACCTTATCGATCTTCTTCGACTTGAACACGTTCTGCATGATTTTGAAGTTGGCGATGAACTCGTATTCGTGTTTGGCATTCATTTTGACTCGCTGCATGGGTACATCGCCTAAACATGTAAGTATATGAAAGGAAGAAGGAAAAAGATTTCAGTTAGATTGGTGGTCGATGGGAAATCGCTGAGCATGCACCGTAAATGGAGTCAATGATCTGGCAGTACGCGGCTCCAGTCCCACATTGCTCCACCTTCGTGTAGCCCAACTGGAGCAGTTCGTTCACCCAGTTCAGCAAATCTGTTCTGGACGCGTTCATCGTCGTCGTCGAAGGAATAGAGGGAAAATCAACTGAAGATTGGTGAAGGGTACAGTGGTGCTGATTCAGGCAATTCGAGCGAAATCACCGCTTATGTAACTTTGTGATAAAATAACCAATTTTATCCTAAAATCGAGGGCCTGGGCCTAGCCTAAATCGCTCTGGCCCTACGCTGTCGGTTTTTCTGCATCTGCTCTGGCCATCATGCATTAGCTGTAGAAATCCGGTTATAGGCCTTATATATTTGGCTTCAAGTATTTTAGACTAACATTTTGAAGATTTCTCACATCCCGATATACCTCGTTTCCCCTTTTCGTCCAGGTAAAACTATGCGGCGTCTCGAGTATTTCCTAGGCTCAGTCTATCAAATGGTTTATTAGGCTATATGAAACATCTATTCCAGCCTGTAGTTCTGCAAAGGTGCGGCAGAGAGTCAACCAGTAGGGGGCTACCCATGGAGGCTTCGACTCCTTCACACCTTTCGAACAGAGAGCCCCTCTCCAAGTCCGGGATCTGACACCGTGTGTTCAAATGCTCAAGAGTACGATTTTCTGCCTTCTCTAGGTAAGGGATATCGATAAGAGCTTCCAAGTGCGAACTTGTATTTAGGAACAGCCTCAAACCTGACCATTGCATGCGTCAGAGTATGCTCAAACAAATCCAGCAAGTTTCGGTCCATCCTCCCTTAGACAGACTCTGAGATCTAGGGTTGCAATGGTAACGAACCCCAACCGCTGCATCAAAAAAGCTAATATCCTCACAATTCTACAACCCTACTTGTCAGAGGAAACGCGGCGCCACCATCAAGAAATCGTATTTACTACATCGCAATTATACGTACGTCCTTACTCCATCGTTCCATTTCCATCAACTCGTCGGCCGGTTCACCCGTTTTATTCTTTATTCAGCTTCAAGAATCCATCAAATCCGCAGCTGCCGTATTCTCGACGAGGCGGTGCGACAGTTGGCATCTTCGAGTTTGGTGAATATCCAATTGTTACACACAAGACGCGAAACATCCCCACCTCAGCTGCAGCTTCACATGATGAAGTCACAGATGAAGCGGCCCGACGAGTGTACCATATATGTATCGGAATGGAAGTGGAGGATTCATTTTATTTCAAGTGACATTTCCGAGAATCCCTGTCAGAAGCTCTTCGAAAATCAGTTTTCGGTATACATACTAGAGTGGTACATGTAATGAGTAGCGTGTAAATCCTGCTGAGATCCGCGCTAGGCGGAGCAATATATGCGTGAGAAGTATCCTAAGGTCGTAAAAATAAATATGTGATAAGTAGAAGATGAGATAAATTATCTGTGTCCGTTCATTTGAAGGATAGATTACACCCGAGCCAATATCCGCGAATCAATCATGAGTTTTGCACCGATTATAAAGCAGGAACCAGCAATCGTCGTCGCACCGGAGAAAATAATCATCCCAGTATATGATCCACCTTCTAGCGCTAATAAGGCGCCGGCTGTGGGACCGCCTATCAAGGATCTGAACGGAGGAAAAGAAAACCGACGTCAGCTTCAATAAAAGACGTCTAGACATGATACTCACGGAAAAGAAATAACACTGTAAAGGACTCCGATTCTTGTACCGATCTCCCGAACATCCGATATTTGTGCCACGCACGGCGTTATCACAGATATGAACGACCCCGAGAAGAAGCCGTATAAAATGGAAAATGCGATCACTGACGAAAGTGTTCGTGCCAGGATCCAGAGTGTCAGGCAGAGGACACCTGACAAGAACGCGGAAGGTGCAAGGATGTTGAAGCGCCCGATGGTGTCGGACAAGACGGCGGGGGCTATGCGACCAAAAACGCCTCCCAGGTTCATTAGAGCGAGCACCAGATATGAAGTGTCACGAGAGATGGAAAGATCATGCGCAAAGTCCACTATGTAGAACAGCGGTATGAAAAGACCTGCGTTCAATGTTAGTGGACACCAGCAAGAGCTAAAGAGGTAGGAGACATCTACCTAAAGCAACAAGACTGCTTCCAACCATGAGAAAGTCGAAACGCCCATCTTTGAACGTCGAGCAAAGCCGAAACGAGCAGCGTCCGCGCTTTTGCCCCGGTGTAAGAGCCGTCACTGTCACAAGTGCAATTCCACAGCCGACTCCGCTGACGAGGGCAGATACGCGGACTCCCCAGCCAAATCCAACGTGCTCGAAAAGGTGCTGTAACATGATGGGGTACATGACGCCACCTAAAGTATGACCTCGATCAACAATGAACAAATGCTTGGACTATAATGATTGACATACCAAGACTAGACCCAGCTGCGGCAATGCCTAGTGCAGAAGCGCGGTATTTGCAGAAGTACGTCGAAACACTTGCGAGCGACGGATAGAATCTGCAGCGCGTGTATGGATTCTCGGGGATACATGTACTGACGTCGAGATGACTCACAGTAAACCGACACCTAAACCGAATAATATGCCTTGCGCCAGGACATACTGGTAAAACTGTGTCGATATGCTCGTCAAGACTAGACTGAGGATATACAGCAACGAGCCCGTTGCCATCAAGATTCGGGGCCCATACAAGTCAAACATGAAGCCAATAGGTCCTCCCTCAATACGGAGGTTTCAGCCCGCGAACAATAACGAACCATGACGGAAAACTTACGGAAAAGAAGAAGACCCACAGCTGCAAAGAGCCAATCCAAGAAATGGTCGACGCATGCAGGTGTTGTAGTTGATGATCTGCGTACCACGCTTGGAACGTCCCAAACGCGTTCATTTGCCCAAAAGTGCTGAACAGCGCGAGAGACGCGCCAAACACAGCTAAGCATGCCTTCAGACCACCGTCTGCGTATTCATGGGAGGCACAAGACTGTATGCTCTCTTCAGAGAGCCCTTCCGAGTGCGTAGGTTTTGTGTCGTGGGTCGGACAGTCGTCATGGCCATGAGAGCTACGATCGACGCTCTCGACATCGCTACGGAAGTCGGCGTGGATCTTCTCGACGTCAGCCATTGAGGAAAGGGAACAGGACAGGATGAATGAAGTCAGAGAGTGAATATATATTGTTCCAGGGCGATTGATATATAGGTCACCGGGATTTGACTTTTACCACGGAGGTTCGACACAGTAGAAGCATAACATCCGCTCTTTCAGCGCCCGCTAACACCGGCTCCAATTCAGCTCACTTCGATGTATCTAAACAGGTCCCTTTACGCACCTTCATCAGCCGGACCATTCCGTGGGAGCACAAGGTGTGGGGATCCATTCAGAACCCGTCAATGACTCGAGGTTCAGTAGACGTCACTTCGACCGGATGCCTGGGGATAGAGATCTAGATAGCTGTAATAGTAACGGCAATTGATAATTCCAACAATTCTGTGGCTGTGTTTTCCATTTCTTGGAAACCCGTCATCAGGGTTTGGCTGATACGTGCATGCCACACGAACATTGCTGCCGTTTGTCGCGCAGTGCTTATGCCTAGACCACGGCGGTCCACTGTCCTATCACGACCCTGAATGAACAATGTCAGATCTAAGCCTACGAGCAGATGCTGCAAGGACCATACATCACATCGGGCTCCAGTTACTAATGGCAGCATAGATCGTAAATATACCGCGATAATAATATAAGCTCTTTGGACTGCATTTCATAGAATCCCGAGGTATCAGAGTTTCATGCTACGGCAGCTCATTCAAACTCGCTGATGCGACAGGCGTCTTTAAACAGTTCATTGACCATACACAGCGAATCGACACTCCGAATGGGCTTACTTGCGTAATAGACGGCTGCTGTGTGAACCGCATGTTTGTTAGGTTGGAATCCGAGATAAGCGCCCCCTTGCCGGTTGATGTAGATTTGATCCCATACGATTAACGCTGGCAATCAAATGATGTCCCTGCGACATTCATCAGTCCAAAGACAAGTAGAGGAACCACCAGGAGCGCTGAGGCAGGTCTTTCAAACATAAGGGACCTCGCAGTGACGTCGGTTAACCATAAATTTATCAGCAACCACGATGGCGGCAGGCGACGCGTGTTTGGTCCAGTGGCCTGCTTGATACCGCGGACTTGCGTACGTCCAACAAGGTCATTGACCTTGATGGACAATAGAGGTCTAGGCTACGATAACGGTAAGAAAATCAAAATCAACAGGTACAAAAATGGTGAAGCGAGATACCAAACCACAAACATTGGGCAAACATCTGCTGTTGAGGGCGTTGTAAATTGAGTCGAAACTTGTTTCCTGTCAGCGAAATATCCCACTGATAACGGGTTGATTTCCATGATCCAAACTATATATTGATGGCGAGTTACCGTGATAATTGTTGGAGCCAAAAAATCTCGATTGCTGTACGAAAATGATTGATTTTTACCTATGCATCTTGCAACGTTTTACCAACGGGAAGCAGACTTGAAGGCCTTTGCCATCGCTAATACGAATAACAGGAACGCATTTAGAAGCCCAAACACCTAAGATATCCTTCAGATAGAGACAATCATATTAAGAAACGAGATAGACCAGATCGACCGTCGTATTACCCAAACTATCGGCCATGACGAAGACAGGCAATACATCCTCTACATTATCGTGGACAGTGGCTGGCTCAAAACATCGTGTTTATTTACGCTACGACGAAAATTGATCATCTGACTGACTGGAGGTGCGAAAGACGAAGCCACATACCCTAAATACAATCACGCAGCACGTATGGAAACCTAAGCACCTTTACGATTCTTCAGAAGAAAGCAACTCCGCTAAGCGAATAAACATACCTAATCTGACTGACAGTGAACAGTCGTCGTTACTTCACGTACTTCGGGGGTTTCGGTCGTGATGTGAATCCTTGGAGATCAAAAGAAAATTAGCCTTTCACCAGAGAAGCACTGTCAGTGCTTCGACCACTAGTCTACCGGTGCTTCTCAAGGTCGCGCACAACGTCATCGAAAAGGTACCTAGTTGAATGTGCTGCGCTGACGACAGGAGTTTTTATAATGCCAGAGGCTAGACACGAGGGACCCGAGAGGGATTTGCGTTAGGGCGACGAAAAAGAAGAGAATTGATAGCGTACACCACAAGACGCTGGTCAATAGCTCATCACGACCCATCAGCTCCATCACTTCTTCGCTTCGCCTTCATTTCCCTATACCGCGCAATGGCCTTATTTCTTTCATCCTCCATCATGGCCTTCTGCGCCATCGATAGAACACCATCGCGTTTCTTCCCCGCATTACGAGTTTCGTCGGGCCATACGGCACCCCTCGGAAGCTTCGTGAACTCTGGTGGGGCCTGGGCGATATCGTTTAGCCGACGTGGCGCGGAAGAAGATATCGTCTGGAACTCTTTTGGTCTATCTGCGTGTTTTGAGGGTATCGGCGGCGGCGAAGGCGACCGTTCTGCTTCCTCAGCGTGTTTTGCCTTGGCCTTCTTTTTCGCGTTCATTTCCGTGGTTCGCACCTTTCGGGCATTGGCTAGGGAAGACTGGACCGCGTTTTTGACAAGGGGGCGCATATCATTTTCGACACGCCTATACATAAGCAGTATTAGTGGAGCAAAATGAATGATATCGGGCAGACGCACTTGTTGAAGTGCTGGAGCGACTCTCCAGGCAGAATTCCTGAAATTTTTGCCGTCTTAAGCTCGCCACGGTCGCCTTTTTCCGTCTTCCTTCTTTTACCTGGCTTTATCGCATCCAGATCATCCTCTGGCATCCTCTTCCTTGATTTCCACTGCTCACGGATATGTACCGCATCCAAGACGCGAGCAACGGATTTCGGTATAGCTTCGCTTTCCAATGCTTGCTTTCCTGGCGCCAAGTCCGAACCTCTGCGGAAGGTCAGCACCTCATTCCATAAAAAAAACACAAATGAAACTGACGTCTGCAGCCTCTGCAGTTCTCTCGTTGATTTCTTCGCTCGTTTGTGAGGCATGATGGTGGAAGCTACACAAGCTGTGCTCCTTGCTTGGCACTCATGGCGTTGGGCTCTCGGACAAACACCGCTGAACGTTACGGTACCGCCGCAATCTTTAAAAGTGCGCGCTTCTGTATGGTCATCGATAAGAGAGAATCCATGCTTCTGCCCTGCCTCCTCGCCAATACTATCCCCGCTTGCCTTGTTAATACCCAACGTGTGGTCCCATATGATCCAGGTTAGGCTCCCCCATACTTCTTTCCACTGGCAATATCCAGCAAAACTGGTCTTCCTGACCGTCTCCATACAGTTATACCTGGGAGAATGTTACTAAATGTATGGTCTAACACATGGTCCAGGTTCTAAAACACGTTTCCGTTATCCTGTAGCCCGGTTCTTTTATATGCTCAGATCGATCTGCCGTGTGCTCTTACCGCTAGCTGAGTAAAAATATCGTGCCGATAACCATAAGTACTAGGGCAGTCATTGTCTGGCAGAACAGATGTCCCCGTTCTCCTTTGTTCTTCTTGCTTGCTTATCGGCGAGCGCCTTCGCGTCTCTAAGACAAATTCCTGTCGTTGATGGTATCATCGGAGGTGTTCCCAACGTAACTACTACCGCCACCAACAAGTTAAAGGTAGCGGCGGGGAATGTGACCACAAAAGTCGGTCAACTTCGTGTTACGGAAAATTCTGGCGTTTGTGGTAAACTTCCCTGGGACCCCTTCCTCAGATGTGCAGCCGTTCTCACCAGATACTCAGAGACGACGGAGGGCGTTTACTCAGCTTCCGGATACGGAGATATCGCCCAAAATAAGAGCATCTGGTATGTCGTCTCGTTCAACTCGCATCTGCTCACCTTCCCTGCAAAGGTTCTGGTACTTTGCGGCTCGGAACAATCCCGACACTGCGCCTCTGGCACTCTGGTTCAATGGAGGAGTACGTGCCATTCAAGTCGGTCTCCTTTCAAACCTTATTCTTTTTCAGCCCGGAAGCTCGAGCATGATCGGTTTATTCCAAGAGCTCGGTCCTTGCCGCATAACCAACGACAGCTCTACTGTGGTACTCAATCCCTATTCTTGGAATACAAACGCGAATCTCTTGTTTATCGATCAACCCGTCGGCGTGGGTTTCTCGTACGGAACATTAGACGTGGGAACCTCCCAAGAGGCAGCGGATGATGTCTGGACTTTCCTCCAGATTTTCTTCTCCGACTCGAAATTTGCGAGCTTATTGGATCGTGACCTCGCTATATGGACGGAATCGTAGGCCGCCTCTCACTTTTATATCTGCGCTGTTCCATTAAATGCGGCATTTAGTTATGGAGGGCATTATGGTCCCACATTTGCGGCGTGAGCAATTTTCAATTCATATTCTCACCTGGTTCTTGCCTGATCACACAATCCAGATACTTCCTTTCTCAGAATGAGGCTATAGCTTCCAGGACCATCTCAGGCTTGACTTTGAATCTCAAGGTACTGGGCGTCGGAGACGGATTAACAGTGAGTAGGCATGGTTTCCAGAATCCCCACTTGATAACGACTTGAAAGGACCCTTTATCACAATACCCAGGCTATATCACATACGCAGCTTCCAATCCTTACCACCCTCTAGTGTCATCGTCAGTCATCTCCCAAGCAAATTCGTCATGGTCTTCTTCCAGTGGATGCAAAGCACAGGTGCATCTTGAACCACGTTTATATGATATTTTGCATTCTCATCACCACAATAGATCACAGCCTGTAACAACGGCGGTTCCAACTCTGTTTGCTCTAGTGCGCAAAGTTTCTGCAACGACAATGTGTTGGGTCCATTGGCGGGAAATTATGATGTATGTTCCCAGGATCGACCGCTCCTGAAACTGAAATCTCACACCGCCACAGGTCTATTTCATACTATCACTGAACCCAGATCCGTACCCACCTAATTTCACAAACTACATCAACTCTGTTGCTAGCAAAATTGGCGCGGAGGCTACCTGGAGTATGTCGAATGGCGACGTGTACGCTAACTTTGCGGCCACAGGTGAGCCGACGTGTTCTTTACTATCATGAACTTTGTTTAATCTTTCGAATAGGCGACTGGATGAGGAACTCCAGACCTGACTTGGAGACCGTTATTAACGCCGGTGTATGTGTTCTTTGTGATCAGCGAGTGTCCTTTTCTCTAATAGGTTACCACCTTAGGTTCGAACGGTTGTTTATGTCGGTGACGCTGTGAGTACACTTGCCCTCGATATCACATCTTGACTTACATCGATACCTAGGACTATATCTTGAATTTCAACGGGGTAGAGGCCATGGTAGAGCGGAATTGAAACTATCGTCGAGACTTTGCTAACCCCTACATAGGTGGGTGCGTTGGACATGAAGTTCAGCGACATCCTGAAGGAGGAAGAACTGGAAGATTACACCGTCGATGGACAAGCGGCTGGTCTACACAAGAATGCTGGGACGTTTTCTTTCATTCGGGTATATGGTGCAGGCCATGAAGTGCCTGCATACACGGTGCGGTTCGCTTTGCCTATTCACTGACATCATCCTGACGCGAAGCAGCATGGAACGCTTCACTATGGTCAAGCCGCTTTACAGATGTTTACACAGATCATGGCCAACGAGTCTCTGTCTTCGACGTAAAACCGAAGCTTGTGTAGTGAGAAGTAAGTAGCGATCTTGTTAACCATGAGATCAATGTATTATACCCTCCACGAATGATAAGACACTATGTATATGTTAGTAAACAACGATCTCAGTCTTCACCGGAATGGTTGTAAAAGGCTGAGGTACGACAGGAGACGATAAAAAAGAAATATGGTAGCGATCGCGAAACACATGACTATAAATAGAGGTCCGACGATGGGTGTTGGCTGAACCTCTCGACGCTCCCCCTGAAGTCGACGCCCATTGAAACTAAACTCCAGCGAACCCCATATGTCGTAAGAGATCCATTGCGTGAGGCTTGGGGATGGTCTTCATGAAAATATCGGCGAGATTGTCTTCAGATAGGACATACTTAATGTCAAGATCCCTAAGTTGTACCGCCTCCCGTATCCAATGATAATCCAGGGCAAAATTTTTGACTTCCCATGACATTTCGTAGACTTGGTAAGGTCAATAGTACTGTTATTATCGTACCGGATAGTATATGGACGGTCCTTTTCAATCTCCAGCTCACCCAAGAAAGAGCCCATCCACATTGATTGTCATCTTCCATGGACGTTAGCGACATACTCTGCCTCGGTTGTCGATAATGCTACCCTTTTCTGTGCACGGCTGCTCCATGAAACTGGTCTCTCAGCCATCTAGAATACATAGCCCATTGTAGATTTCCCCATAGTACGGACGTCTCCATGGGATGAGTCCACATATCCAATTGGTGCGAGTCCGTCATCTGTATTGGTTCCTCTCCGGTATGTAATTTTGTATTGCAGCGTTCCCTTGAGATATGCTAGAACGTTCATTGCCCGGTTCCAGTGGATAGGTCGAGGGTCTGAGGTGAAACATTGGAGGTAATTGGTGGCAAATGCAATATCGGGGTGAGTTCCATCAGCGATGTGATTCAAGGAGCCCAGTACAGCCCTATAACCCCTGTGGACCATGAACTCTTTGTCTGACATGGGGATTGGTCTTGGTTGTGTGTCAAGCACAGCTAATGTTCCAATTGGTAAAGGAATGGCCTTTGGTTTGCAGTCGAACATACCGAATCGCTCTAGTGTGTTCAAGATGAGGTTTTTTTGATGTAATGAGATGGATCCAGCGATCTCATCGAATTCTACCGTCATTCCAAGGACAGTGTTATGCCTACCCATGTCCTTGATGTCGTAGACCTCCCCAATATCTCTTCTCACTAACTCTCCTTCAGCCTTAAATGTCGAAGCCCCAGATAGTCATCCGTGTATGTGCAAGTAATCATCTGCTCTCCCCCACGTCTTAACAACCTAACACACGAGTCTGCTTGAGATTGGATGTGCCCAAGTGCAGTGAATGTCTTGTTGAGCTTGTGGAACCATGCATTCCCAGTGTCCATCATTCCATACATCACATGACACATTCTGAGGGCATAATCACCTGGTGGAAGATCCCTAGTGATGACTTTTTCATATCCTTGGGGTAGATTGACATAATTCTCACCTTGAGGCTTGGCATTGAGATAGGCTCCAACAAAATCTATGAGCCAAAAATCCAATCCTTGAATAGCAACAATCACAAAGAACATTCAGAGTGATTCATATTGAACAACCTGCAAATGACTCAAAATAATGGAGACCTTTGATCTGGCTGAAGCCCTTTACCACCAGCCTAGCTTGCCTTTTTAGTAAACTCTCCAAATCACCATCAAGCTTGATATCAAACATCCAACGTGTGTCAATCAATCTCATCCAGGGCTCCTGTGGTATTACCTCTCACACATCCTGTTCCTCCATCCTTCAGGTCTCTGCATCTATCACTGGTACTCATAACTCCAGTTTCATTATAGCTTCACTATAATGAGGAGTCCACTTGTTTTTGGGTTCAGGTAGGTTCTTGATCTCTGATGCCTTCAATGTGATGATATCTTCAGGTTATTATCTTCTGGGACCAATGGAAATTCCACATCATTTACCCAGTCTTTGCCTTCCTCCTTTGCCTTTTTTTATGTTTCAGATATTCACTGGATTCAGTTTGGGCTTGGGATGATTTCTGGATGCATGTAGATCATGATCTACCATCTGTGGGTTGATCATGAATGGGAATTTGACTAGTGATTGTCTGGTCAGATTCTCTATTTGTTATTGCAGGGTTCAATGTTAGAATTCATGATGGGCATTCTGGTCTAGGTGGAAGATTTCTGAGCTGTGCATGTACTGTTTTGACACTGTACTGGAATGGCTGGAACAATTTTGCACCTGTCTATTTAGGATGGATAGATGAGATAATTAAAGCACCATATGAGCACTCAATACCTATGTAGCTATTATATTTACTCTCTTCTCATTTAGCTGTTCTGATCCCTGTCTCCCAGATCAGATGGTCTCTTTGCTCAAATACCTTGGTACTAAATAGTGCTACTGCTTTTTTCAAAGCATGATCTATCTTCAAGATCATTGCTATAGTCCTCTGCATAATATAATCAATTTCTCTATGCAGATACTGGCAGTAACCTTCAGCATCATCATTCCACATGTATATAGTGTCAATAATTTACCACAGTCTCACTGCCATACTTGACATTTCCTGTGATAGATGATGAAGTATCAGCACTACTAATGCAAATGACAAATGAGACACAGTAAGCTATAGATAGTTAAGCATATATAGCAGAATGTTCAAGCATGTCCAGCACAAGATGCACAGAATAAATATACTAGAGAAATTTCAAGAAGCATGCTAGAGTATGTGTTTCAACATGCTGAAAGAGGAAGCACAAGTGGCAATAGCAACTATAGGAAATTAAATGACATGGAGAAGAAGAACTGGATACAAAAGCAACAAGAACAAAGCAATAATAACAAATTGAGAGACAATAGAAAATAGAAAGATGCATGCAGCAGGGTGTTGGGTATGAGACCTGATAACAAGATGATGATAAGCAATAGCAAAGAAGGGAAGGATAAAACATAGACTCAGATCTCATTCATGTTTATTTGAAAGGGCACCCCTCCATCTGCAATAGCAGTATTGAGGCTCTCTGATATTTCCATGCATGAACATTAGTGCATTTGACAATCATGACTTTGAGCTTGCACCAGACAGATCATGACTGCATGAGTCACAAACCTGGTCAAAGAACATCAAGAAGAATGATAATGAAAAGCACATGGTGACTGAAAGTATGAGAACAAGTTGAGAATGAGAGCACAATTCTTTAGATATAGAGCAGAGCTTAAATAGTTGGGTGAAAGATTCCTGCCTTATATTAGATCATAAAATAGTACCAAAAAATATAATATATCATATCTGAGAGAACATATTGAGCATGAGTAATCCAGACCTAATAATTCAGTGAAGAGCTGATAAGCATGGGTAATAAGCTATTTAAGATAACCAAGTGCTTAAACTGTTTCAAAAAAGAGGAATGAATGCATAGAAATTATTTCTAGTGATTACTACTCAAATTTAGAATACACACTAGCATTTTATTGGAGTCAGCCATCCATTTGTATCTCAGCTCAAAGAGAGTGAGCAGGATAGTATTTCTTCTTCTCAGTCTCTTCCAATCCAGTATGAAAATAGTAGATCATCATCATGTTCATTCTGTTATTGGCCTCTGAATCATCTAATAGGTTAACTATCTTCCTTTAAAGAGGTATAGTGTGCATTGGAATGGGCTCCTCAAAGACAACATCATGTAAGGTTGTAATCCTGATACCTGAGCCATCAAGTAGAACATAATAGGTTTCATGCCCAGCTAGCTCCACAAGATGACCTTTCAAGCTGCAAGATGCCAGCTTGCTTTCTTCTTTTGCTGCAGAGATCTTCATGTAACATAGACTCCTGCAGACTCTAATAAATCCAGCAGATTGACATTTTCCTGTCTACTGTTCCTCTGGAATCTTCTCTGGATGATGCATAGATGGCAACAAATTTCTGACCCATATAGCATAGTCACATACCTCAGCCCACCATCTATGTGACATTCTTGCTTTGCTTAACATGATCTGTACTGTGCCAAATCATAGAATGTCCACCACAGCCAGTGACTATCACCATATGCAGAGAGACATGTGACTATTTTGATGATATTTTTCTCACCATGAAGCATACTAAGACAGAGTCTCACAACTCAGAAAATGAGTCAATCAAAATAGTTGCAAAGGTCTCACTTTTGATTCCAGCTCCAGCATCATTTGCCTCCTTCAGCAAGCACCTCATTTTCTCAACATGCCCACCATCACCAGAAATCTTCTCTCCATCTTAAAACTTTGTCTCTCTCAGTATATCTTCCCTCCTCTTTCAGATTATGTCAGAATGGGTTCCATACTCCTTTTGCAGCTTGTTACACACCTCATGTGCCTTCCTTCATAAGTCAAGGCCAAAACCAAATGGGTCTGTGACATTCCAGATGACAGAAGAGAGTGCTGCACTCTCACAATGGGGGTATTCATCATCCAATAGATTGAGGCTGGTTGATCTTAAAGAGAGGAGATTCAGCAGCTGGAGAGATACTTTGTTTTCCCAGTAGTTTATAAGTCCACATGGACCTCCTTCAGCAATCATTAGCATCTCCCACAATACCCAATTTTTGCTATTGAACTTCTCATCAGCTTCAAGTTTGAAAGGCAATACTTAGAATGTTATCATTTTTGATATGTTTGGGTGCAAAATTTTTATAGGAGTCCAGTTTTGTGATGAGTTATGTGGGTGACATCTATGATCCCAAGCTATTGTTTCGAGGGTTCAGTAATCAATTTCTTGAGTCTTTGATAGGTTTGAGTATGCTTGTTAGAATTTAAATTCACAAAGTTAAGCACAGTGGAGCCATGTAACCTGTTAGTAAACAATGATCTCAGTCTTCACCTGAATGGTTGTAAAAAGCTGAGGTATAACAGGAGACAAAAGAAATATAGTAGTGATCATGAAACATTTGACTATAAGTAGTTTAAAAAAGTGACATGTATTCATAGCATCTAATAGAGTACACTGTTAGCTATAATGTA